GACAGGGGAGTCAGTTGTGTGAAGGGACTGGTGGCTACAGGAGGTAATGACAGAGGTATCAGTTGTGAGTGCGAAAGGACTGGTGGCTACGGGAGGTAATGACAGGGGTATCAGTTGTGAGTGTGAAGGGACTGGTGGCTACAGGAGATGACAGGGGTATCAGTTGTGAGTGTGAAGGGACTGGTGGCCATGGGAGGTAATGACAGGGGTATCAGTTGCGAGTGTGAAGGGACTGGTGGCTACGGGAGGTATTGACAGGGGAGTCAGTTGTGAGTGTGAAGGGACTGGTGGCCACGGGAGGTAATGACAGGGGTATCAGTTGCGAGTGCGAAGGGACTGGTGGCTACGAGAGGTAATGACAGGGGAGTCAGCTGTGAGTGTGAAGGAACTGCTGGCCACGTGAGGTAATGACAGGAGTATCAGTTGCGAGTGCGAAGGGACTGGTGGCTACGGGAGGTAATGACAGGGGTATCAGTTGTGAGTTTCGAAGGGACTGGTGGCTACGGGAGGTATTGACAGGGGTATTAGTTGCTAGTGCGAAGGGACTGGTGGCCATGGGAGGAAATAACAGGGGTATCAGTTGTGAGTGCGAAGGGACTGGTGGCTATGGGAGGTAATGGACAGGAGTATCACCCGAGTGCAACGGGACTGGTGGCTCTGGGAATGATCGAGAAGGGGGGGGGGGGCGTGGCATCGTGTTGGTATATAAAAGGGAGATGCGCGGGAAACTCGGGGCTGTTGCAGTGGGCTCCTACGCCTGATGTCAAGCGAAGGCGTCTTCAATAAAGTGCCATCTCAAAAGAGGTGTCAAGTCGTCATTACACATCGATCAACCGTGTTTCTACTCACATTACGTGTTTGTCGTCGGTATCCTTACGTATTAATATCCATTGTTTAAATGGAATGTTGCAAGGTACGATTGGGTGAAAAAGGGTCCCTTTCGATGCCATCCGAACGGATTCATCCTTCAACCGCGTACATTCCCTACACTCACTTGCCGACCAAAAATCACTGGACGACCGGTTTTCGTGGAACCAATTTTAACCGCCGTCGTCAAAGAGGGCTTCTCGTGGACTTCCCCGATGGGTCGTGCACTCCACCGCCGATCGGTCAGTCGGCGCTGCACAAGTGCCGGGTACCGGCTCTGCGCTCACGCCAAAGGAGACGCGGTACGTTCGTTTAACAAGCAAAATAAACAGGCGTGGGTGGGGGGGAAAGGACTTGCAGACGGTGACCAAGATGACGAAGACGACGAAGACGACAAAGAAGGCGACGCTATTATTATTTTTTTTTACGAATCCAAAAACAAAACCTGTTTTTTTTATTATTATTTTAGTTTCTACCACACTGGGGTGACATCTCCCCGGCCAAGGGGTGAGGGAGGGAGAGTTTGCAGACAGAGAGACATGAGAGCCAGAGAGACAGAGAAGACAGAGAGAGACAGAGAGAGACAGAGCCAGAGAGAGAGAGACCGACGTCCGCGCTCATCGCGAGAAATTAAACGGGTGGGGAAGTTCGCGAAGCCCCCACCCCCCCCCACCCCCCCCACCATGGCGCTGTGGGGCATTCGCACTCAAGACAGCCGCCCGCCCACCCACCCACCTAACCCCCCCCCTCCCCACCTCCCACCTCCCACCTCCCCGCGCCCCCTTGGGAGTTAGCCACATTTTACCCCACCACTACCGTCACAAACATCGTCGCCGCCGACACGTTTTGACCGGACGTTCGATTCGTCTCGGACACATTGCCTGCTGTAGGGTGGGGACAGGGGGGGTAGCTGGGGGAGTGAGGAGGAGGGGGGGGGGGGGGAAGTGAGGGGGAGGGAGGGAGGGAGGGAGGGCGGATGGAGTGGGAAGGGGATGGAAGGAGAGAGAGGGGGTGGATGAGGAGTGAGGGGGGAAATGTTGTACATGGGGGTGGAGGTAGGGAGGTAGGGAGGGAGGGAGGGGGGATATTTTCTTAACAAATCTTGTCCGGCGTTGTGCACGCTTCGCACCGCAGCCAATTCACACGAAAATAAGACTCTGTACAATATAAAAAAAAACAAGTCAGCCCATGGATCGACATCATTATCGTGACGGCGGCTGTGCTAACAGCGGTGGTGGCGCTGGTGGTGTTTCGTGGTGACGATGGTGACGGTGATGGCGGTGGTGGCGGCGACGGCGACGTTGACAGCAGTGGTGGCCGTGGTGATGGTGGCGGTGATCGGCTGATCAGAGGCCACAGAGATGCAACACTGTGGACAGCCATGACCGATGGACCCATGACAACGACGATTGTGATCAGTGAAGCCGGGCGGAGCGGTGGGGGGAGACGGGGTGTAGTGTGTACGTGCACGTGTGTGTGTGTGTGCGTGTGTGTGTGTGTGCGTGTACGCAAGTATACCAAGCGCGTGTACTCACGCCCCGAGTACCAGGAGAAACCTGGTGTGGGAGGTGGTTTTCATTTCAACGGTGTTTGTGTGTTTTTTTTTAGTTTATATAAAAATAGCGTGAACCAGGGCCTGCGATGTACGGGGGTTCAACATCGGGAGCTGGCTTTTATAATCCTTGGCGGGGGGGGTGGGGGTGGGTGGGGGTGGTCCGGGATGAGATGCTCACGTGATTACCGTTCATGACAGAGTGGGTGGTTGTCAACACTGGCGCGGGTGTGTGGGTGTGCGCGTGTGTGCATGGGTGTGTGTGTGTGCGTGGGTGTGTGCGTGGGTGTGTGAGTGTGCGCGTGTGCATGGGTGTGTGCGTGGGTGTGTGCGTGGGTGTGTGCGTGGGTGTGTGAGTGTGCGCGTGTGCATAGGTGTGTGCGTGGGTGTGTGCATGGGTGTGTGTGTGTGCGTGGGTGTGTGCGTGGGTGTGTGAGTGTGCGCGTGTGCATGGGTGTGTGCGTGGGTGTGTGCGTGGGTGTGTGAGTGTGCGCGTGTGCATAGGTGTGTGCGTGGGTGTGTGCATGGGTGTGTGTGTGTGCGTGGGTGTGTGCGTGGGTGTGTGAGTGTGCGCGTGTGCATAGGTGTGTGCGTGGGTGTGTGCATGGGTGTGTGTGTGTGCGTGGGTGTGTGCGTGGGTGTGTGCGTGTGCGCGCGTTTGGGTGTGTTAAGGCACGTTAAGGGCTTAACGTGCACATAGCCGGGCGTGTGCTGTGCCGGCCTTCATAGGTGTTACGCGCTAACAGCACTTGCCCCAACAGTCTGAGTGTGTAGGTGAGTACGTGGTGTGTGAGTATGTAGTGAGTGTGTGTTGGTGGTGAGCGAGTGAGTGTGTGCGAGTGTGTTAGTGAGTACGTGGCGAGCGAGTGTGTGAGTACGTGGTGAGCGAGTGTGGTAGTGTGTGTGCGTGGTGAGCGAGCGTGTTAGTGTGTGCGAGTGGTGAGCGAGTGTGTTAGTGTGTGTGTGTGAGTGGTGAGCGAGTGTGTTAGTGTGTGTGTGGTGAGCGAGTGTGTTAGTGTGTGTGAGTGGTGAGTGAATGAGTGTGTGTGCGAGTTTGTTAGTGAGTACGTGGCGAGCGAGTGTGTTCGTGTGAGTGGTGAGCGAGTGTGGTAGTGTGTGTGAGTGGTGAGCGAGTGTGTTAGTGTGTGTGAGTGGTGAGCGAGTGTGGTAGTGTGTGTGAGTGGTGAGCGAGTGTGTTAGTGTGTGTGAGTGGTGAGCGAGTGTGATAGTGTGTGTGAGTGGTGAGCGAGTGTGTTAGTGTGTGTGTGAGTGGTGAGCGAGTGTGTGAGTGTGTTAGTGAGTACGTGGTGAGCGAGTGTGTTCGTGTGAGTGGTGAGCGAGTGTGGTAGTGTGTGTGTGTGAGTGGTGAGCAAGTGTGGTAGTGTGTGTGTGAGTGGTGAGCGAGTGTGTTAGTGTGTGTGAGTGGTGAGCGAGTGTGTTAGTGTGTGTGTGTGTTGAGTGAATGAGTGTGTGTGCGAGTTTGCTAGTGAGTACGTGGTGAGCGAGTGTGTTAGTGTGTGTGAGTGGTGAGCGAGTGTGTTAGTGTGTGTTTGAGTGGTGAGCGAGTGAGTGTGTTTGTTAGTGAGTACGTGGTGAGCGAGTGTGTTAGTGTGAGTGGTGAGCGAGTGTGTTAGTGTGTGTGTGTGAGTGGTGAGCGAGCGAGTGTGTGAGTGTGTTAGTGAGTACGTGGTGAGCGAGTGTGTTAGTGTGTGTGTGTGGTGAGCGAGTGTGTTAGTGTGTGTGTGTGAGTGGTGAGCGAGCGAGTGCGTGAGTGTGTTAGTGAGTACGTGGTGAGTACGTGACGAGCGTGTTAGTGTGTGTGAGTGGTGAGCGAGTGTGGTAGTGTGTGTTTGAGTGGTGAGCGAGTGAGTGTGTGAGTGTGTGAGTGTGTTAGTGAGTACGTGGTGAGTACGTGACGAGCGTGTTAGTGCGTGTGTGAGTGGTGAGCGAGTGTGTTAGTGTGTGTGAGTGGTGAGCGAGTGTGTTAGTGTGTGTGTGTGAGTGTGTTAGTGAGTACGTGGTGAGTACGTGACGAGCGTGTTAGTGCGTGTGTGAGTGGTGAGCGAGTGTGTTAGTGTGTGTTTGAGTGGTGAGCGAGTGAGTGTGTGAGTGTGTGAGTGTGTTAGTGAGTACGTGGTGAGTACGTGACGAGCGTGTTAGTGTGTGTGAGTGGTGAGCGAGTGTGTTAGTGTGTGTGTGAGTGGTGAGCGAGTGTGTGAGTGTGTGTGTGTGAGTGGTGAGCGAGTGAGTGTGTGAGTGTGTTAGTGAGTACGTGGTGAGGACGTGACGAGCGTGTTAGTGCGTGTGTGAGTGGTGAGCGAGTGTGTTAGTGTGTGTTTGAGTGGTGAGCGAGTGAGTGTGTTAGTGAGTACGTGGTGAGCGAGTGTGTTAGTGTGAGTGGTGAGCGAGTGTGTTAGTGTGTGTGTGAGTGGTGAGCGAGTGTAGTAGTGTGTGTGTGTGTGAGTGGTGAGCGAGCGAGTTAGTGTGTGTTTGAGTGGTGAGCGAGCGAGTGTGTGAGTGTGTTAGTGAGTACGTGGTGAGTACGTGACGAGCGTGTTAGTGCTTGCTCTTTTTCGACTTCTTGTGCGAGCGAGGTGGTGAACGCGCCGCTGGTGAGCGGCGCGACTTCCTCCCAGATGACGTCGGAGACCTAGAGCGTGAACGCGACCTGGCGACACGCAAGCACGACACGTTAACATAACACACACGACACGTTAACATAACACACACGTTAACATAACACACACGCTAACATAACACACACGGCACGCTAACATAACACACACGACACGCTAACATAACACACACGACATGCTAACACACACGACACGTTAACATAACACACACGACACGTTAACATAACATACACGACACGTTAACATAACATACACGACACGTTAACACACACGTTAACATAACACACACGACACATTAACACACACGTTAACATAACACACACGACACGTTAACATAACACACACGACACGTTAACACACACGTTAACATAACACACACGACACGTTAACACACACGTTAACATAACACACACGACACGTTAACATAACACACACGACACGTTAACACACACGACACGTTAACATAACACACACGACACGCTAACATAACACACACGACACGTTAACATAACACACACGGCACGCTAACATAACACACACGACACGTTAACATAACACACACGACACGCTAACATAACACACACGGCATGCTAACATAACACACACGGCATGCTAACATAACACACACAACACGTTAACATAACACACACGACACGTTAACATAACACACACGACATGCTAACATAACACACACGACACGTTAACATAACACACACGACACGCTAACATAACACACACGACACGCACACACGGTGAGTGGGTGGGTGATTGAGTGGGTGGATGGTTGGGTGTGCGGTTGAGTGGGTGGGTGGGCGAGCGGGCGGGCGAGTGGGTGGGCGGGTGAGTGGGTGTGTGTCTCTGTGTGTGTCTCTGTGTGCGTCTCTGTGTGCGTCTCTGCGTGCGTCTCTGCGTGTGTCTCTGCGTGTGTCTGTGCGTGTGTCTCTGTGTGTGTCTCTGTGTGTGTGTCTCTGTGTGTGTGTCTCTGTGTGTGTGTCTCTGTGTGTGTCTGTGTGTCTGTGTGTGTGTCTCTGTGTGTGTGTCTCTGTGTGTGTCTCTGCGTGTGTCTGTGTGTGTCTCTGTGTGTCTCTGTGTGTGTCTCTGTGTGTCTCTGTGTGTGTGTCTGTGTGTGTCTGTGTGTGTCTGTGTGTGTGCGTCTCTGCTCTCACCGCTTGGACCGCTTGACGCTGGGCGAGACTCTCCGCGTGGGTGAGCGAGTGCGCTAAGACTTGTGTGTCTCTGTGTGTCTCTGTGTGTGTGTGTTTCTGTGTGTCTGTGTGTGTCTGTGTGTGTGTGTCTCTGTGTGTGTGTCTCTGCTCTCACCGCTTGGACCGCTTGACGCTGGGCGAGTCTCTCCGCGTGGGTGAGCGAGTGCACTAAGACTTGTGTGTCTCTGTGTGTGTGTCTCTGTGTGTGTGTCTCTGTGTGTGTGTCTCTGTGTGTGTGTCTCTGTGTGTCTGTGTGTGTGTCTCTGTGTGTGTGTCTCTCTGTGTGTGTGTCTCTGTGTGTGTGTCTCTGTGTGTGTGTCTCTGTGTGTGTGTCTCTGTGTGTGTGTCTCTGTGTGTGTGTCTCTGTGTGTGTGTCTCTGTGTGTGTGTCTCTGTGTGTGTGTCTCTGTGTGTGTGTCTGTGGGCGAGGTTTAGGACTGTGACTCATGCAACTGCAATGGCTGCTTTGGGTACGCGGTCCAGACCTCCCCAGACACCCTGGCTGACAGAGGAGTTGTTCAGGATGGTTGAGAAAAAGCGACAGGCCCACTGTCATCGGCTACAGAATCCCACGTCAGAGAATGAGGAGGCTTACCGCAGCCTTCGCTCGGAGGTTCGGAGAGCCGTGAGGCGCTGCAAGGATGGGTGGTGGTCGCGGGTTGCTGAGGAGATGGAGTCTGCCTCAGTGGCCCGTGATCACAAATCTCTATTTAACTCCATCAAAAAAGTAACCTGCAGCGCCACACCTATTACCATCATTAGGGGAAAAAAACGGTGATCCAATTTCCGACCCCCAGGAACAGGTTCGCAGATTTGCTGAGCATTTCTGTGAGGTCCTGGGGGAGGGAAAATCCCTCAGACAGGAAAACATCGTGGCACAAAGTGAGGATGACCCTGCTGAGGCTGCGGTGCCTCAAATATTGGATGAAGTCACCCCCTGTGAGTGGCTGGCTGAGGTGCCATCTGCTGAGGAAGTATTGAAGGCGATCCGGAGTCTGAGACCAGGAAAGGCAGCGGGCAGAGATGATCTCCCAAGCGAAATGCTGAGGGAGGGTGGCGTTTGTGCACAGACTGCCCTATATGACATCATAACAACAGTCTGGACCACTGGACGGGTTCCGCAGGATTGGAAGGATGCCCTGGTGGTCCCCCTTTTTAAGAAGGGGGACCGCACAGACTTTAACAACTACAGGGGCATCTCACTCCTCAGTGTGCCGGGAAAGGTCCTGGCAAGGATTATTCAGCATCGCCTTGCCAGGCACACTGAGGAGAGGCTTGCGGAGCCCCAATGCGGTTTCAGGAAAGGGCGGTCCTGCACAGATGCCATATTTTCTGTCCGTCTGCTACAGCAGAGGTGTAGGGAATTCCAACAAGACCTACATCTCTGCTTTATTGACCTGGTCAAGGCCTATGATACCATCAGTAGGCCTGGGCTCTGGGTCGTTCTTCGTGCTTTTGGAGTACCTGACCCTCTGCTCATGATCATTAAGGACCTTCATGATGGTGAGCGGGCCCGGGTAAAACTACGTGGGCGGGAGTCAGAGCCATTCCCTGTACACCTTGGGGTGCGACAGGGATGTCCTCTGGCTCCCACATTATTTAACATCTATTTTGACCACGTAGTTCGTGAAGCCTTCAATAGCTGTACCGGGGGAATCTCCATATGGTACAGATATAATGGGAGGCCAATCGATGCCCGGGTGCGGTCAAGGGATGGCTCCCTATTGCTCAACCACGTTATGTATGCTGATGATTTGGTAATAGCTGCTCAGTCAGAGGAGGAGTTGGAGACGCTGCTGCTGAGACTAGAGCGTGCCACTAAGAGGTGGGGCCTTACCATCAGCCCCACCAAAACTAAGCACCTGCCTGGGTATTTTGTACCATCGGACACTCCACCCCCACAACTCCCAATCGGTGATGGGGCAGTTGTGGAGAGAGTGGAGAGTTTCCCATACCTGGGCAGTGTGCTTATGACTGGCTCCAGTTTAACAGCAGAGGTCTCACTCCGAATCAGTCGAGCGGCAATATCTTTTCATCGGTTGCGTAACGCTGTGTGGAAGCTACCTGGTCTGTCGCTCCGCACTAAGCTTCAGGTCTTCTCGGCCACGGTCATTCCCTCCCTTCTCTACGCTTGCGAAACGTGGACCCCCCTAATGGAACATCTTCGCCGGTTAGAAACATTTAGGCTGGCCTGCCTACGATCCATCCTGGGTTTAACCAGACTGGATTGTGTGAGGAGCTCACAAATCCTTGAAAGATCTGGGCAGGGTCCCATCGGTGAGCTCCTCCGGCAGGCAAGGCTGCGATGGCTGGGTCATGTAGCCCGCATGCCCAGCCACCGCATGCCAAAACAGCTTTTGTTTGGCCGGATTGAGGGGGCTAAGCGGGCGCGGCACGGGCTAGAGAAGAGATGGAGTGATGTGGTACAGGAGGACGTGGAGGTGAGTGGACTTGCCGATGACTGGTACCAGCGGTGTCAAGATCGGCCTCTGTGGAGGAGGCTCGTGAAGGATGCTACTGGGCAGTTGGAGGCAGTCGCCCTCCAACAACAACGGAGGGCGGAGGAGCGACGCTCACAACAGCGAGCGGAGCGCCGGGTGGCTAAAGCACAGCAGGTTGGCACAGTAGGGGGCACAGGTGGTGCATCAGCCAGTCATCTCAGTCAGTCGACCCGTGGCACCTGGGTCTGCCCCGTGACCTCCTGCCAGCGGGCGTTCGACACTTCACGTGGCCTCAGGGTGCACATAGCCTGGCACAAGCGTCGTGGTGACGTCACCGCAACTTAGTGGCGAATGGCGGTTGTTGTTGTTGTCTCTGTGTGTGTGTGTTTCTGTGTGTCTGTGTGTGTCTGTGTGTGTGTGTATCTCTGTGTGTGTCTCTGCTCTCACCGCTTGGACCGCTTGACGCTGGGCGAGTCTCTCCGCGTGGGTGAGGGAGTGCGCTAAGACTTGTGTGTCTCTGTGTGTGTGTCTCTGTGTGTGTGTCTCTGTGTGTGTCTCTGTGTGTCTCTGTGTGTCTCTGTGTGTGTGCGTCTCTGCTCTCACCGCTTGGACCGCTTGACGCTGGGCGAGTCTCTCCGCGTGGGTGAGCGAGTGCGCTCAGACTTGTGTGTCTCTGTGTGTCTCTGTGTGTGTGTCTCTGCGTGTGTGTCTCTGCGTGTGTGTCTCTGTGTGTGTGTCTCTGTGTGTGTGTTTCTGTGTGTCTGTGTGTGTCTGTGTGTGTGTGTCTCTGTGTGTGTGTCTGTGTGTGTCTCTGTGTGTCTCTGTGTGTGTCTCTGCTCTCACCGCTTGGACCGCTTGACGCTGGGCGAGTCTCTCCGCGTGGGTGAGCGAGTGCGCTAAGACTTGTGTGTCTCTGTGTGTCTCTGTGTGTGTGTCTCTGTGTGTGTGTGTTTCTGTGTGTCTGTGTGTGTGTCTGTGTGTGTGTCTCTGTGTGTGTGTCTCTCTGTGTGTGTGTCTCTGTGTGTGTGTCTCTGTGTGTGTGTCTCTGTGTGTGTGTCTCTGTGTGTGTGTCTCTGTGTGTGTGTCTCTGTGTGTGTGTCTCTGTGTGTGTGTCTCTGTGTGTGTGTCTCTGTATGTGTGTCTCTGTGTGTGTGTGTTTCTGTGTGTCTGTGTGTGTGTGTCTCTGCGTGTGTATCTCTGTGTGTGTCTCTGCTCTCACCGCTTGGGCCGCTTGACGCTGGGCGAGTCTCTCCGCGTGGGTGAGCGAGTGCGCTAAGACTTGTGTGTCTCTGTGTGTGTGTCTCTGTGTGTGTGTCTCTGTGTGTGTGTCTCTGTGTGTGTGTCTCTGTGTGTGTCTCTGTGTGTGTGTGTCTCTGTGTGTGTGTGTGTCTGTGTGTGTCTCTGCTCTCACCGCTTGGACCGCTTGACGCTGGGCGAGTCTCTCCGCGTGGGTGAGCGAGTGCGCTCAGACTTGTGTGTCTCTGTGTGTCTCTGTGAGTGTCTCTGTGTGTGTGTGTCTCTGTGTGTGTGTCTCTGTGTGTGTGTGTGTCTGTGTGTGTCTCTGCTCTCACCGCTTGGACCGCTTGACGCTGGGCGAGTCTCTCCGCGTGGGTGAGCGAGTCCGCTCAGACTTGTGTGTCTCTGTGTGTCTCTGTGTGTCTGTGTGTGTGTGTGTGTTTCTGTGTGTCTGTGTGTGTCTGTGTGTGTGTGTCTCTGTGTGTGTGTGTGTCTGTGTGTGTCTCTGCTCTCACCGCTTGGACCGCTTGACGCTGGGCGAGTCTCTCCGCGTGGGTGAGCGAGTGCGCTAAGACTTGTGTGTCTCTGTGTGTGTGTCTCTGTGTGTGTGTCTCTGTGTGTGTGTCTGTGTGTGTGTCTGTGTGTGTGTCTCTGTGTGTGTGTCTCTGTGTGTGTGTCTCTGTGTGTGTCTCTGTGTGTGTCTCTGTGTGTGTGTCTCTGTGTGTGTGTGTCTCTGTGTGTGTGTGTCTCTGTGTGTGTCTCTGCTCTCACCGCTTGGACCGCTTGACGCTGGGCGAGTCTCTCCGCGTGGGTGAGCGAGTGCGCTCAGACTTGTGTGTCTCTGTGTGTGTGTCTCTGTGTGTGTGTCTGTGTGTGTGTGTCTGTGTGTGTCTCTGCGTGTGTGTCTCTGCGTGTGTCTCTGCTCTCACCGCTTGGACCGCTTGACGCTGGGCGAGTCTCTCCGCGTGGGTGAGCGAGTGCGCTCAGACTTGTGTGTCTCTGTGTGTGTGTCTCTGTGTGTGTGTCTCTGTGTGTGTGTCTCTGTGTGTGTGTCTCTGTGTGTGTCTCTCTGCGTGTGTCTCTGTGTGCGTCTCTGCTCTCACCGCTTGGACCGCTTGACGCTGGGCGAGTCTCTCCGCGTGGGTGAGCGAGTGCGCTCAGACTTGTGTGTCTCTGTGTGTCTCTGTGTGTGTGTCTCTGTGTGTGTGTGTTTCTGTGTGTCTCTGTGTGTGTGTCTCTGTGTGTGTCTCTGTGTGTGTGTCTCTGTGTGTGTGTGTTTCTGTGTGTCTGTGTGTGTCTGTGTGTGTGTGTGTCTCTGTGTGTCTCTGTGTGTGTGTGTCTCTGTGTGTGTTTCTGTGTGTCTGTGTGTCTCTGTGTGTGTGTCTCTGCGTGTGTGTCTCTGTGTGTGTTTCTGTGTGTGTGTCTCTGTGTGTGTCTCTGCTCTCACCGCTTGGACCGCTTGACGCTGGGCGAGTCTCTCCGCGTGGGTGAGCGAGTGCGCTCAGACTTGTGTGTCTCTGTGTGTCTCTGTGTGTGTGTCTCTGCGTGTGTGTATCTGTGTGTGTGTCTCTGTGTGTGTGTCTCTGTGTGTGTGTGTCTCTGTGTGTGTGTTTCTGTGTGTGTGTCTCTGCTCTCACCGCTTGGACCGCTTGACGCTGGGCGAGTCTCTCCGCGTGGGTGAGCGAGTGCGCTCAGACTTGTGTGTCTCTGTGTGTGTGTCTCTGTGTGTGTGTCTCTGTGTGTCTCTGTGTGTGTGTCTGTGTGTCTCTGTGTGTGTGTCTCTGTGTGTGTGTGTTTCTGTGTGTCTCTGTGTGTGTGTCTCTGTGTGTGTCTCTGTGTGTGTGTCTCTGTGTGTGTGTGTTTCTGTGTGTGTCTGTGTGTGTGTGTGTCTCTGTGTGTCTCTGTGTGTGTGTGTGTCTGTGTGTGTCTGTGTGTGTGCGTCTCTGCTCTCACCGCTTGGACCGCTTGACGCTGGGCGAGTCTCTCCGCGTGGGTGAGCGAGTGCGCTCAGACTTGTGTGTCTCTGTGTGTGTGTCTGTGTGTGTGTGTTTCTGTGTGTCTGTGTGTGTCTCTGTGTGTCTCTGTGTGTGTGTGTCTCTGTGTGTGTGTCTGTGTGTGTGTGTGTCTCTGTGTGTGTCTCTGTGTGTGTCTCTGTGTGTCTCTGTGTGTGTGTGTCTCTGCTCTCACCGCTTGGACCGCTTGACGCTGGGCGAGTCTCTCCGCGTGGGTGAGCGAGTGCGCTCAGACTTGTCGGACCGGTGGGAGCGCTCCGAGCGTGGGGACGGGGACCTGGGGAGGGGGGGGGGGAGAAGGGGGGGGGGGGCAGTGGCCACGTTCGCGTCTCAGCAGGAAGTTCATAACCCACCTCTGCTCCTCTACCACTACCCCCTACCCATACCACTACCACTACCCATAGCACTACCACTACCCCCTACCACTACCCATACCACTACCACTACCCACACCACTACCACTACCCACACCACTACCACTACCCATACCACTACCACTACCCCCTACCACTACCCCTACCATAACCACCATCCCTACCACTACCCCCATCACCACCACCACAACCACTACCCCGATCACCAGCCCTATCGCTCACCACTGCCCCTATAGCCACCACCGCCACACCCCTACCAATACACGCCATTCGCCGCTAAGTGACGGTGCGCTTTGAGGCTCTCACGTGAAGTGTCGAAAGCTCGCTGACAGGAGGTCTTGTGACAGACCCAGCAGGTGCCATGGGTTGACTGACTGAGATGACCGGTAGATGCACCATCAGCTGTACCCCCCTCCCTACTGTGCCAACTTGCTGCGTTTTAGTCGTCTGGCGCTCCGCTCGTTGTTGTGAGCATCGCTCCCTCCGCCCTTCGTTGTTGCTGGAGGGTGACTGCCTCCAACTGCCCAGTAGCAGCGTCCTTCACGAGCCTCCTCCATATCACTACCCCTACCACTACCCCTATCACCACCACCACTACCCCTATCAGCACCCCTAACCCTACCACTACCTCTATCACCACCACTACCTCTATCAGCACCCCTAACCCTACCACTACCCCTATCAGCACCACCACCCCTAACCCTACCACTATCACCACCACCACTACCCCTATCAGCACCCCTAACCCTACCACTACCCCTATCAGCACTACCACCCTTAAACCTACCACTACCCCTATCAGCACCACCACTACCCCTATCAGCACCACCACCCCTAACCCTACCACTACCCCTATCACCACCACCACTACCCCTATCTGCACCACCACCCCTAACCTTACCACTACCCCTATCACCACCACCACCACCCCTATCAGCACCATCACTACCCCTATCAGCACCACCACCCCTAACCCTACCACTACCTCTAGCACCACTACCACTACCCCTATCAGCACCGCTAACCCTACCACTACCCCTATCACCACCACCACTACCCCTATCAGCACCACCCCCCCTAACCCTACCACTACCCCTATCACCAGCACCACAACCCCTATCAGCACCACCACCCTTAACCCTACCACTACCCCTATCACCACCACCACTACCCCTATCAGCACCACCACTACCCCTATCAGCACCACCACCCCTAACCCTACCACTACCTCTATCACCACCACCACTACCCCTATCAGCACCACCACCCCTAACCCTACCCCTATCACCACCACCACTACCCCTATCAGCACCACCACCCCTAACCCTACCACTACCCCTATCACCACCACCACTACCCCTATCAGCACCACCACTACCCCTATCAGCACCACCACCCCTAACCCTACCACTACCTCTATCACCACCACCACTACCCCTATCAGCACCACCACCCCTAACCCTACCCCTATCACCACCACCACTACCCCTATCAGCACCACCACCCCTAACCCTACCACTACCCCTATCACCACCACCACTACCCCTATCAGCACCATCACTACCCCTATCAGCACCACCACCCCTAACCCTACCACTACCTCTATCACCACCATCACTACCCCTATCAGCACCCCTAACCCTACCACTACCCCTATCAGCACTACCACCCTTAACCCTACCACTACCCCTATCAGCACCACCACTACCCCTATCAGCACCACCACCCCTAACCCTACCCCTATCAGCACCACCACTACCCCTATCAGCACCACCACCCCTAACCCTACCATTACCCCTATCACCACCACCACTACCCCTATCAGCACCACCACCCCTAACCCTACCACTACCCCTATCACCACCACCACTACCCCTATCAGCACCACCACCCTTAACCCTACAACTACCCCTATCACCACCACCACTACCCCTATCAGCACCACTACTACCCCTATCAGCACCACCACCCCTAACCCTACCACTACCTCTATCACCACCACCACTACCCCTATCAGCACCACCACCCCTAACCCTACCACTACCCCTATCACCACCACCACTACCCCTATCAGCACCACAACCCCTAACCCTACCACTACCCCTATCACCACCACCACTACCCCTATCAGCACCACCACCCCTAACCCTACCACTACCCCTATCACCACCACCACTACCCCTATCAGCACCACCACCCTTAACCCTACAACTACCCCTATCACCACCACCACTACCCCTATCAGCACCACTACTACCCCTATCAGCACCACCACCCCTAACCCTACCACTACCTCTATCACCACCACCACAACCCCTATCAGCACCACCACCCTTAACCCTACCATTACCCCTATCACCACCACCACTATCCCTATCAGCACCACCACCCTTAACCCTACCACTACCCCTATCACCACCACCACTACCCCTATCAGCACCATCACTACCCCTATCAGCACCACCACCCCTAACCCTACCACTACCTCTATCACCACCATCACTACCCCTATCAGCACCACCACCCCTAACCCTACCACTACCTCTATCACCACCACCACTACCCCTATCAGCACCACCACCCCTAACCCTACCACTACCTCTATCACCACCATCACTACCCCTATCAGCACCACCACCCCTAACCCTACCACTACCCCTATCACCACCACCACTACCCCTATCACCACCACCACTACCCCTATCAGCACCACCACCCTTAACCCTACAACTACCCCTATCACCACCACCACTACCCCTATCAGCACCACCACTACCCCTATCAGCACCACCACCCCTAACCCTACCACTACCCCTATCACCACCACCACTACCCCTATCAGCACCACCACCCCTAACCCTACCCCTATCACCACCACCACTACCCCTATCAGCACCACCACCCCTAACCCTACCACTACCCCTATCACCACCACCACTACTCCTATCAGCACCACCACCGCTAACCCTACCACTACCCCTATCACCACCACCACTACCCCTATCAGCACCATCACTACCCCTATCAGCACCACCACCCCTAACCCTACCACTACCTCTATCACCACCATCACTACCCCTATCAGCACCCCTAACCCTACCACTACCCCTATCAGCACTACCACCCTTAACCCTACCACTACCCCTATCAGCACCACCACTACCCCTATCAGCACCACCACCCCTAACCCTACCCCTATCAGCACCACCACTACCCCTATCAGCACCACCACCCCTAACCCTACCACTACCCCTATCACCACCACCACTACCCCTATCAGCACCACCACCCCTAACCCTACCACTACCCCTATCACCACCACCACTACCCCTATCAGCACCACCACCCTTAACCCTACAACTACCCCTATCACCACCACCACCACTACCCCTATCAGCACCACTACTACCCCTATCAGCACCACCACCCCTAACCCTACCACTACCTCTATCACCACCACCACTACCCCTATCAGCACCACCACCCCTAACCCTACCCCTATCACCACCACCACTACCCCTATCAGCACCACCACCCCTAACCCTACCACTACCCCTATCACCACCACCACTACCCCTATCAGCACCACCACCCCTAACCCTACCACTACCCCTATCACCACCACCACTACCCCTATCAGCACCACCACCCTTAACCCTACAACTACCCCTATCACCACCACCACTACCCCTATCAGCACCACTACTACCCCTATCAGCACCACCACCCCTAACCCTACCACTACCTCTATCACCACCACCACTACCCCTATCAGCACCACCACCCTTAACCCTACCACTACCCCTATCACCACCACCACTACCCCTATCAGCACCACCACCCTTAACCCTACCACTACCCCTATCACCACCACCACTACCCCTATCAGCACCACCACCGCTAACCCTACCACTACCCCTATCACCACCACCACTACCCCTATCAGCACCACCACCCTTAACCCTACAACTACCCCTATCACCACCACCACTACCCCTATCAGCACCACAACTACCCCTATCAGCACCACCACCCCTAACCCTACCACTACCTCTATCACCACCACCACTACCCCTATCAGCACCACCACCCCTAACCCTACCCCTATCACCACCAACACTACCCCTATCAGCACCACCACCCCTAACCCTACCACTACCCCTATCACCACCACCACTACCCCTATCAGCACCACCACCCCTAACCCTACCCCTATCACCACCACCACTACCCCTATCAGCACCACCACCCCTAACCCTACCACTACCCCTATCACCACCACCACTACCCCTATCAGCACCACCACCCCTAACCCTACCACTACCCCTATCACCACCACCACTACCCCTATCAGCACCACCACCCTTAACCCTACAACTACCCCTATCACCACCACCACTACCCCTATCAGCACCACTACTACCCCTATCAGCACCACCACCCCTAACCCTACCACTACCTCTATCACCACCACCACTACCCCTATCAGCACCACCACCCTTAACCCTACCACTACCCCTATCACCACCACCACTACCCCTATCAGCACCACCACCCTTAACCCTACCACTACCCCTATCACCACCACCACTACCCCTATCAGCACCATCGCTACCCCTATCAGCACCACCACCCCTAACCCTACCACTACCTCTATCACCACCATCACTACCCCTATCAGCACCACCACCCCTAACCCTACCACTACCTCTATCACCACCACCACTACCCCTATCAGCACCACCACCCCTAACCCTACCACTACCTCTATCACCACCATCACTACCCCTATCAGCACCACCACCCCTAACCCTACCACTACCCCTATCACCACCACCACTACCCCTATCACCACCACCACTACCCCTATCAGCACCACCACCCTTAACCCTACAACTACCCCTATCACCACCACCACTACCCCTATCAGCACCACCACTACCCCTATCAGCACCACCACCCCTAACCCTACCACTACCCCTATCACCACCACCACTACCCCTATCAGCACCACCACCCCTAACCCTACCCCTATCACCACCACCACTACCCCTATCAGCACCACCACCCCTAACCCTACCACTACCCCTATCACCACCACCACTACCCCTATCAGCACCACCACCCCTAACCCTACCCCTATCACCACCACCACTACCCCTATCAGCACCACCACCCCTAACCCTACCACTACCCCTATCACCACCACCACTACCCCTATCAGCACCACCACCGCTAACCCTACCACTACCCCTATCACCACCACCACTACCCCTATCAGCACCACCACCACCCTTAACCGTACAACTACCCCTATCACCACCACCACTACCCCTATCAGCACCACTACTACCCCTATCAGCACCACCACCCCTAACCCTACCACTACCTCTATCACCACCACCACTACCCCTATCAGCACCACCACCCCTAACCCTACCCCTATCACCACCAACACGACCCCTATCAGCACCACCACCCCTAACCCTACCACTACCCCTATCACCACCACCACTACCCCTATCAGCACCACCACTCCTAACCCTACCACTACCCCTATCACCACCACCACTACCCCTATCAGCACCACCACCCTTAACCCTACCACTACCCCTATCACCACCACCACTACCCCTATCACCACCACCACCCTTAACCCTACCACTACCCCCATCACCACTACCCCTATCAGCACCACCACCCTAACCCTACCACTACCCCTATCACCACCACCACTACCCCTATCAGCACCACCACCCCTAACCCTACCACTACCCCTATCACCACCACCACTACCCCTATCAGCACCACCACTCCTAACCCTACCACTACCCCTATCACCACCACCACTACCCCTATCAGTACCACCACCCTTAACCCTACCACTACCCCTATCACCACCACCACTACCCCTATCACCACCACCACCCTTAACCCTACCACTACCCCTATCACCACTACCCCTATCAGCACCACCACCCCTAACCCTACCACTACCCCTATCACCACCACCACCACTACCCCTATCAGCACCACCACCCCTAACCCTACCCCTATCACCACCACCACTACGCCTATCAGCAACACCACCCCTAACCCTACCACTACCCCTATCACCACCACCACTACCCCTATCAGCACCACCACCCTTAACCCTACAACTACCCCTATCACCACCACCACTACCCCTATCACCACCACCACTACCCCTATCAGCACCACCACCCCTAACCCTACCACTACCCCTATCACCACCACCACTACCCCTATCAGCACCACCACCCCTAACGCTACCACTACCTCTATCACCACCACCACTACCCCTATCAGCACCACCACCCCTAACCCTATCACTACCCTATCACCACCACCACTACCCCTATCAGCACCACCACCCTTAACCCTACCACTACCCCTATCAGCACCACCACCCTTTACCCTACCACTACCCCTATCACCACCACCACTACCCCTATCAGCACCACCACCCTTAACCCTACCACTACCCCTATCACCACCACCACTACCCCTATCAGCACCACCACCCCTAACCCTACCACTACCCCTATCACCACCACCACTACCCCTATCAGCACCACCACTACCCCTATCAGCACCACCACCCTTAAGCCTACCACTACCCTATCACCACCACCACCACCACTACCCCTATCAGCACCACCACCCCTAACCCTACCACTACCCCTATCAGCACCACCACCACAACCTCCACCACCTCCACCACCACCACCTCCACCACCACCACCACCACCTCCACCACCACGACCCCCTACCACTAACTCCCACAATGCACCGCTCACCTGCGCGTGGCCTTCTTGCGTGACGACGACGACGACGACGACGAGACTCCGGCGGCGTCCCGCGACGACGACGCCGACGACGAGACTCCGGCGGGGGCGGGGGGGGCGGGGGGGGAGCGGGACGACGAGGTGGCGGCGGCGTCGTCGTCGCCACGTCGCGACCGCTGCGAGCGTGCCGGGGACGAGCGGTGCCTCGACGACGACACCGCCGCCACCGCCGCCACCGTCGCCGCGGACGACGACGACGACGACGAGGTGGCGGACGGAGCGGGAGGGGGGTGAGGAGGTGGGGTGGTGGACGAGGAGGGGGGGGAGTCGCGCTGCGGCCGCGGCTGGCGCCGCTGCTGCTGCTGCTGCTGCTGCTGGCGCGAGGGGCAGGGGCTGGGGCTGGGGCTGGGGCTGGGGTAGCGCTCCTCAGAGCCCGAGCGGCTGCTGCTGCTGCGCTTCCTGTGGCGTGTGGGGGGTGGGAGGTGGGTGAGTGGGTGGGTGGGTGGGTGAGTGAGTGGATGAGTGGGTGAGTTGGTGGGTGAGTGAGCGGGTGAGTGGGTGGGTGAGTGAGTGGGTGAGTGAGTGGGTGAGTGAGTGGGTGAGTGAGTGGGTGAGTGGGTGGGTGGGTGAGTGAGTGAGTGAATGGGTGAGTGGGTGGGTGGGTGAGTGGGTGGGTGAGTGAGTGGGTGAGTGAGTGAGTGAGTGAATGGGTGATTGGGTAGGTAAGTGAGTGGGTGAATTGGTGGGTGAGTGGGTGAGTGAGTGGGTGAGTGAGTGAGTGAATGGGTGAGTGGGTGGGTAAGTGAGTGGGTGAATTGGTGGGTGAGTGAGTGGGTGAGTGAGTGAGTGGGTGAGTGAGTGAGTAGGTGAGTGGGTGAGTGAGTGGGTGAGTGAGTGAGTTGGTGGGTGAGTTGGTGGGTGAGTGAGTGAGTGAATGGGTGAGTGGGTGGGTAAGTGAGTGGGTGAATTGGTGGGTGAGTGAGTGAGTGGGTGAGTGAGTGGGTGAGTGAGTGGGTGAGTGAGTGAGTGGGTGAGTGAGTGAGTGGGTGAGTGAGTGGGTGGGTGAGTGAGTGGGTGAGTGAGTGGGTGAGTGAGTGGGTGATTGAGTGAGTGGATGGTTGAGTTGGTGGGTGAGTGAGTGGGTGGGTGCGTGAGTGGTTGAGTGGGTGGGTGGTTGGGTGAGTGGGTGGGTGAGCGAGCGTCGGGAGGTTGGTAGTGAGTGGTGTGGTGAGTGGTGTGGTGAGTGGTATGGTGAGTGGTATGGTGAGTGGTGTGGTGAGTGGTGTGGTGAGTGGTGTAGTGAGTGGTGTGGTGAGTGGTGTGGTGAGTGGTGTGGTGAGTGGTGTAGCGAGTGGTGTGGTGAGTGGTGTGGTGAGTGGTGTAGTGAGTGGTGTGGTGAGTGGTGTGGTGAGTGGTGTGGTGAGTGGTGTGGTGAGTGGTGTGGTGAGTGGTGTGGTGAGTGGTGTAGTGAGTGGTGTAGCGAGTGGTGTGGCGAGTGGTGTAGCTAGTGGTGTAGCGAGTGTTGCGGTGAGTGTTGTAGCGAGTGGTGTGGTGAGTGGTGTGGTGAGTGGTGTGGTGAGTGGTGTAGTGAGTAGTGTAGCGAGTGGCGTGGCGAGTGGTGTGGTGAGTGGTGTAGCGAGTGGTGTGGTGAGTGGTGTGGTGAGTGGTGTGGTGAGTGGTGTAGCGAGTGGTGTGGTGAGTGGTGTGGTGAGTGGTGTGGTGAGTGGTGTAGCGAGTGGTGTGGTGAGTGGTGTGGTGAGTGGTGTGGTGAGTGGTGTAGTGAGTAGTGTAGCGAGTGGTGTGGCGAGTGGTGTAGCGAGTGGTGTAGCGAGTGGTGTAGTGAGTGTTGCGGTGAGTGTTGCGGCGAGCGGTGTAGCGAGTGTTGCGGCGAGTGTTGTGGTGACTGTTGTGGCGAGTGTTGTGGCGAGGGGTGTGGCGAGCGTTGTGGTGACTGTTGTGGCGAGTGTTGTGGCGAGAGTTGTGGCGAGCGTTGTGGCGAGCGGTGTAGTTGAGTGTTGTGGCGAGTGTTGTGGCGGGTGGTGTAGCGAGTGTTCTGGCGAGTGTTGCGGCGAGCGTTGTGGCGAGCGGTGTAGTTGAGTGTTGTGGCGAGTGTTGTGGCGGGTGGTGTAGCGAGTGTTGTGGCGAGTGTTGTGGCGAGCGTTGTAGCGAGCGTTGTGGCGAGCGTTCTGGCGAGTGTTGTAGTGAGTGGTGTAACGAGTGTTGTGGCAAGTATTGTGGCGAGTGTTGCGGCGAGTGTTGTGGCGAGTGTTGTGGCGAGCGTTCTGGCGAGTGTCGCGGCGAGTGTTGTGGCGAGCGTTGTGGTGAGTGTTGTAGTGAGTGGTGTAGCGAGTGTTGTGGCGAGACTTGTAGCGAGTGTTGTGGCGAGTGTTGTGGCGAGTGGTGTAGCGAGTGTTGTGGCGAGTGTTGTAGTAAGTGGTGTAGCGAGTGTTGTGGCGAGTGTTGTGGCGAGTGGTGTAGCGAGTGTTGTGGCGAGTGTTGTAGTAAGTGGTGTAGCGAGTGTTGTGGTGAGTGTTGTAGTGAGTGGTGTAGCGAGTGTTGTGGCGAGTGTTGTAGTAAGTGGTGTAGCGAGTGTTGTGGCGAGTGTTGTAGTAAGTGGTGTAGCGAGTGTTGTGGTGAGTGTTGTAGTAAGTGGTGTAGCGAGTGTTGTGGCGAGTGTTGTAGTGAGTGGTGTAGCGAGTGTTGTGGTGAGTGTTGTAGTGAGTGGTGTAGCGAGTGTTGTGGTGAGTGTTGTAGTGAGTGGTGTAGCGAGTGTTGTGGCGAGTGTTGTAGTGAGTGTTGTAGTGAGTGGTGTAGCGAGTGTTCTGGCGAGCGTCGCGACGAGTGTTGTGGCGAGCGTTGTGGCGAGCGTTGTGGCGAGTGTTGTGGCGAGACTTGTAGCGAGCGTTCTGGCGAGTGGTGTAGCGAGTGTTGTAGTAAGTGGTGTAGCGAGTGTTGTGGCGAGTGTTGTGGCGAGTGGTGTAGCGAGTGTTGTGGCGAGTGTTGTAGTGAGTGGTGTAGCGAGTGTTGTGGCGAGTGTTGTAGTAAGTGGTGTAGCGAGTGTTGTGGCGAGTGTTGTAGTAAGTGGTGTAGCGAGTGTTGTGGTGAGTGTTGTAGTAAGTGGTGTAGCGAGCGTTCTGGCGAGTGGTGTAGCGAGTGTCGCGACGAGTGGATGGGCCACCGGGAGCCAGCGCCGTGGCCAAGCCCTCCGGCCTCACCGCTCGCGACGTGACGCCGACGACGACGACGACGCCGACGGCGTTGCAGGCGGAGGTGGCGCCTGCTGCTGCTGCTGCTGCTGCTGCTGCGCCGCCTGCTGCTGCTGCTGCTGCTGCTGCGGCGTGGGCGACGAGGAGCCACGACCACCCTCCCGGCGCCCCTTCCGCTTCTCCTCCTTGTCGCGATCCTTCTTGTCACGCTCCTTCTTCTCCTTCTCCTTCTCCTGGGGGGGGGGGGGTGAGGGGGGTGAGGGGGTGGGTGAGAGGGGGGTGAGAGGGGGGTGAGGGTGGGTGAGAGGGGGGTGAGAGGGAGGTGAGGGTGGGGTGAGGGGGGTGAGGGTGGGGTGAGAACCGCGCTCACAGTTCGTCCGTTGGGAGCGCCAGCGATGGCGGTCGTGTTAACTGCTCCTGGCTGCCAAAAACGCCACCGCCGCCACCCCTGCGGCTAATGCTACCCCCCCCTTCCCCTATCGCTGTCGCTACCCCTACCACTACCGCTACCCCTACCGCTACCCCTACCACTACCCCTTCCCCTACCACTGTCGCTACCCCTAGCACTACCCCTACCACCCCCCTTCCCCTATCGCTGTCGCTACCACTACCGCTACCCCTACCGCTACCCCTTCCCCTACCACTGTCGCTACCCCTACCACTACCCCTACCACCCCCCCTTCCCCTATCGCTGTCGCTACCCCTACCGCTGTCGCTACCCCTACCACTACCGCTACCCCTATCTCCACCCCTACCACTACCCCTACTGCTACCACTACCGCCACCGCTACCCAGACCACTATCGCTACCCCTTCCCCTACCACTGTCGCTACCCCTACCACGACCACTACCCTTACCGCCATCGCTTCCCCTAGCACTTATCTCTACCCCTACGAAAAGAAGTTCAACACACACACACACACAGCACGGTTGGCTACGTACGGTGCGAAAGAAGTTCAACATATGACACCATCCCATGGCCGTACCCTTGCGAGCAGCTTGCTCCGATAGTGCTCCACCTGCTCGCGGATGCTCTGGCCCGCCTTCTTGTGGCGCTTGCCGCACTCCAGCTCATCCTGAAACTTCATCACCTTCAGCTGCGCACACACACACACACACAAAGATAAAGATCCCTCCCGAGTGTAGCCTCAACAGACTGTTGGGGCAAGTGCTGTTAGCGAGCACCTATGAAGGCCGGCATGGCGGGGGGTGGGTGGCCAGCACCACCCAGCAACCCAGAAACTCAGCAACCAAACAACTCAACAACCCAGCAACTCAGCAACCCAACAACTCAACAACTCAGCAACCTAACAATTCAACAACCCAGCAACTCAGCAACCAAACAACCCAGCAACCCAACAACTCAGCAACCCAACAACTCAACAACTCAGCAACCCAACAATTCAACAACCCAGCAACTCAGCAACCAAACAACCCAGCAACCCAACAACTCAGCAACCCAACAACTCGACAACTCAGCAACCCAACAATTCAACAACCCAGCAACTCAGCAACCAAACAACCCAGCAACCCAACAACTCAGCAACCCAACAACTCAACAACTCAGCAACCCAACAACTCAACAACTCAGCAACCAAACAACCCAGCAACCCAACAACTCAGCAACCCAACAACTCAACAACTCAGCAACCCAACAACTCAACAACCCAGCAACTCAGCAACCCAACAACTCAACAACCCAGCAACTCAGCAATCCAACAACTCAACAACTCAGCAACCCAACAACTCAACAACTCAACAACCCAACAACTAAACAACACAACAACAACCCAGCAACTCAGCAACTCAGCACCCCAACAATTCAACAACCCAGCAACCAAACAACCCAGCAACCCAACAACTCAACAACTCAACAACCCAGCAACTCAGCGACCCAACAACCCAACAACTCAACAACCCAGCAACTCAGCACCCTAACAATTCAACAACCCAGCAACCAAACCACCCAGCAACCCATAAACTCAGCAACCCAACAACTCAACAACCCAGCAACTCAGCAGCCCAACAACCCAGCAACCCAACAATTCAACAACCCAGCAACCAAACAACCCAGCAACCCAACAATCTAACAACCCAGCAACTCAGCAGCCCAGCAACCCAACAACTCAACAACTCAGCGACCCAACAACCCAGCAAACTCAACAACCCAGCAACTTAACAACAACAACAACCACCACCACCAATCATCGACGGGCTCGCACCTCAATCTCCCTCAGCTTGGCCCTCTTCTCCTCCGACACCTCCAGGGACTTGAGCAGGGACTTTTGAGCGGCCTCATCGCTCACCGACGAACCGGAGCCGACTGCGCCGCCCTGCCCCGGCTTGCCCGCGTCACCGCCGGCGCCAGAGGCACCCGCGGGACCTCCGCTGGGACTGCCGGCGGAGGAGGAGGAGGAGGCGACGGCCGTGGCGGTGAAGCCCAGCGGCAACTTGCCCGCAGCGCCAACCGTGCCGCCGCTGGCATCGTCCGAGTCGTCGTCCCTCTTGCCCGACGGAGGGGGGGAGCGGCCTGTCGGGGGGGGGGGGGGGGGGGGGGGGGGGGCAGGGGGGGGAGGGGCAGCAGGGGAGGGGGGGGGGGAGGAGCGGTGGCGCAGCGGTTAGCGCAGTGCTGTGCTAACCAAACCCGGTGGAGGTGGACGTGGTGGTGGTGGTGGACGTGGTGTTGGTGGACGTGGTGGTGGACGTGGTGGTGGTGGACGTGGTGGTGGACGTGGAGGTGGTGTTGGTGGACGTGGAGGTGGTGGTGATGGACGTGGTGGTGGAGTGGTGATGGACGTGGTGGACGTGGTGGTGGTGGACGTGGAGGTGGTGGTGGTGAACGTGGTGATGGACGTGGTGGTGGAGTGGTGATGGACGTGGTGGACGTGGTGGTGGACGTGGTGGACATGGTGGTGGTGGACGTGGTGGTGGTGGACGTGGTGGTGGTGGACGTGGTGGTGGACGTGGTGATGGACGTGGTGGTGGTGATGGAGTGGTGATGGACGTGGTGGACGTGGTGGTGGACGTGGTGGTGGTGGAAGGTGGTGGACGTGGTGGTGGTGGTGGATGTGGTGGTGGTGGTGGACGTGGTGGTCGTGGACGTGGTGATGGACGTGGTGGTGGTGATGGAGTGGTGATGGACGTGGTGGACGTGGTGGACGTGGTGGACATGGAAGGTGGTGGACGTGGAAGGTGGTGGACGTGGTGGTGGTGGAAGGTGGTGGACGTGGTGGTGGTGGACGTGGTGATGGACGTGGTGGTGGTGATGGAGTGGTGATGGACGTGGTGGTGGTGGACGTGGTGGACGTGGAAGGTGGTGGACGTGGTTGTGGTGGACGTGGTTGTGGTGGTGGTGATGGAGTGGTGATGGACGTGGTGGACGTGGTGGACGTGGTGGTGGTGGACGTGGTGGTGGAAGGTGGTGGACGTGGTGGTGGACGTGGTGGTGGACGTGGTGATGGACATGGTGGTGGTGATGGAGTGGTGATGGACGTGGTGGACGTGGTGGTGGTGGACGTGGTTGTGGTGGACGTGGTTGTGGTGGACGTGGTGGTGGTGATGGAGTGGTGATGGACGTGGTGGACGTGGTGGACGTGGTGGTGGACGTGGAAGGTGGTGGACGTGGTGGTGGTGGATGTGGTGGTGGACGTGGTGATGGACGTGGTGGTGGTGATGGAGTGGTGATGGACGTGGTGGACGTGGTGGACGTGGTGGACATGGTGGTGGTGGACGTGGTGGACGTGGAAGGTGGTGGACGTAGAAGGTGGTGGACGTGGAGGATCTTACGGGTGTTGTCCGTGTCCAGGTCGTCCACGCGCTCCCACTTGGACGACGCGATGGGCAGCATCGCCTTCTTGGGGAGAGCATCGTCCACTACAGCAACGACGACAACAATAACAACGACAACAACGACAACGACAATCAGCAGCAGCGCTCACCTGGTGAGCGGAGGGTGAGCGAGTGGGCAATCGAGCGAGTGGGTGCGTTAGCGTGTGGGCGAGTGAGTGGGTGAGTAGGTGGGTGCGCTAATGATTGTGTGGGTGAGTGTGTGGGTGAGTGAGCGGGTGCGTGAGTGGGCGAGCGGGCGAGTGCGTAAATGCGTGGATGGGCGAGTGGGTGTCTGAGTACGCGAGTGAGTGAGTGAGTGGGTGAGTGAGTGGGTGCGTTAATGAGTGTGTGGGCGAGTGAGTGGGTGCGTTAATGAGTGTGTGGGCGAGTGAGCGGGTGCGTTAATGAGTGTGTGGGCGAGTGAGTGGGTGAGTGAGTAGGTGGGTGCGTTAATGATTGTGTGGGTGAGTGTGTGGGTGAGTGAGCGGGTGAGTGAGTGAGTGAATGAGTGGGTGAGCATGTGGGTGAGTGGGCATGTGGATGAGTGGGCGCGCGAGTGAGTGTTGTTGCAGTGAGTGTTGTAGCAGTGAGCTAGTTAGTATAGTAGTATTAGTGAGTGAGTGCCGTACGGGGCAGCCTATCAATGTCCTAGTGACTGTAGTAGTGAACTAGTTAGTGTAGTAGTGCGCTAGTTAGTATAGTAGTTAGTGTAGTAGTGAGTGTAGGAGTGTAGTAGTGAGTGTAGTAGTGAGTGAGCGAGCATCGTACGGGGCAGCACGTCCATGTTGTAGCGAGTGTGGAAGTGAGCTAGTTAGTGTAGTAGTAGCTAGTTAGTGAAGTAGTGAGCTAATTAGTGTAATAGTTAGTGTAGTAGTAGCTAGTGTAGGAGTTAGTGTAGTAGTAGCTAGTGTAGTAGTGAGCTAGTTAGTGTAGTAGTAGCTAGTGTAGTAGTTAGTGTAGTAGTAGCTAGTGTAGTAGTGTGCTAGTTAGTGTAGTAGTCAGTGTAGTAGTAGCTAGTGTAGTTAGTGTAGAAGTAGCTAGTGTAGTAGTTAGTGTAGAAGTAGCTAGTGTAGTAGTTAGTGTAGTAGTAGCTAGTTAGTGAAGTAGTGAGCTAATTAGTGTAATAGTTAGTGTAGTAGTAGCTAGTGTAGTAGCTAGTGTAGTAGTTAGTGTAGTAGTGAGCTAGTTAGTGTAGTAGTAGCTAGTTAGTGAAGTAGTGAGCTAATTAGTGTAATAGTTAGTGTAGTAGTAGCTAGTGTAGGAGTTAGTGTAGTAGTAGCTATTGTAGTAGTGAGCTAGTTAGTGTAGTAGTACCTAGTGTAAGTAGTTAGTGTAGTAGTAGCTAGTGTAGTAGTGAGTTAGTTAGTGTAGTAGTAGCTAGTGTAGTAGTTAGTGCAGTAGTAGCTAGTTAGTGAAGTAGTGAGCTAATTAGTGTAATATTTAGTGTAGTAGTAGCTAGTGCAGTAGTGAGCTAGTTAGTGAAGTAGTGAGCTAATTAGTGTAAAAGTTAGTGTAGTAGTAGCTAGTGTAGGAGTTAGTGTAGTAGTAGCTAGTGTAGTAGTTAGTGTAGTAGTAGCTAGTGCAGTAGTGAGCTAGTTAGTGAAGTAGTGAGCTAATTAGTGTAAAAGTTAGTGTAGTAGTAGCTAGTGTAGGAGTTAGTGTAGTAGTAGCTAGTGTATTAGTTAGTGTAGAAGTAGCTAGTGCAGTAGTTAGTGTAGTAGTAGCTAGTGTAGTAGTAGCTAGTTAGTGAAGTAGTGAGCTAATTAGTGTAATAGTTAGTGTAGTAGTAGCTAGTGTAGGAGTTAGTGTAGTAGTAGCTAGTGTAGCAGTTAGTGTAGTAGTAGCTAGTGTAGTAGTGAGCTAGTTAGTGTAGTAGTAGCTAGTGTAGTAGTTAGTGTAGAAGTAGTTAGTGTAGAAGTAGCTAGTGCAGTAGTAGCTAGTGTAGTAGTTAGTGTAGTAGTAGCTGGTGTAGTAGTAGCTAGTGTAGTAGTTAGTGTAGTAGTAGCTAGTGCAGTAGTAGCTAGTGTAGTAGTAGGTAGTTAGTGAAGTAGTGAGCTAATTAGTGTAAAATTTAGTGTAGTAGTAGCTAGTGTAGGAGTTAGTGTAGTAGTAGCTAGTGTAGTAGTTAGTATAGTAGTAGCTAGTGTAGTAGTGAGCTAGTTAATGTAGTATTAGCTAGTGTAGTAGTTAGTGTAGAAGTAGCTAGTGTAGTAGTTAATGTAGTAGTAGCTAGTGTAGTAGTAGCTAGTTAGTGAAGTAGTGAGCTAATTAGTGTAATAGTGTAGTAGTAGCTAGTGTAGGAGTTAGTGTAGTAGTAGCTAGTGCAGTAGTAGCTAGTGTAGTAGTGAGCTAGTTAGTGTAGTAGTAGCTAGTGCAGTAGTGAGCTAGTTAGTGAAGTAGTGAGCTAATAAGTGTAAAAGTTAGTGTAGTAGTAGTGTAGGAGTTAGTGTAGTAGTAGCTAGTGTAGTAGTGTAGTAGTAGCTAGTGTAGTAGTGAGCTAGTTAGTGTAGTAGTAGCTAGTGTAGTAGTTAGTGTATAAGTAGCTAGTGTAGTATTAGCTAGTGCAGTAATGAGCTAGTTCGTGTAGTTAGTGTAGTAGTGAGTGGGTAGTGAGCTATTTAGTGTAGTAGTTAGTGTAGTAGTGAGCTATTTCGTGAGTGTAGTAGTGAGTGGGTAGTGAGCTATTTAGTGTAGTAGTGTGGTAGTGAGTGTGGTAGTTAGTGTGGTAGTGAGTGTGGTAGTGAGCGTGGTAGTGAGTGTGGTAGTTAGTGTGGTAGTGAGTGTGGTTGTGAGCGTGGTAGCTAGTGTGGTAGTGAGTGTGGTATTTAGTGTGGTAGTGAGCGTGGTAGTGAGTGTGGTAGTTAGTGTTGTAGTTAGTGTGGTAGTGAGTGTGGTACTGAGCGTGGTAGTGAGCGTGGTAGTGAGCGTGGTAGTGAGTGTGGTAGTGAGTGTGATAGTGAGCGTGGCAGTGAGCGTGGTAGTGAGTGTGGTAGTGAGTGTGGTAGTGAGCGTGGTAGTTAGTGTGGTAGTTAGTGTGGTAGTGAGTGTGGTAGTGAGCGTGGTAGTGAGCGTGGTAGTGAGCGTGGTAGTGAGCTAGCTAGTGTGGTAGTGAGTGTGGTAGTGAGCGTGGTAGTGAGCGTGTTAGTTAGTGTGGTAGTGAGTGTGGTAGTGAGCGTGGTAGTGAGCGTGGTAGAGAGCTAGCTAGTGTGGTAGTGAGTGTGGTAGTGAGCGTGTTAGTTAGTGTGGTAGTTAGTGTGGTAGTTAGTGTGGTAGTGAGCGTGGTAGTGAGTGTGGTAGTTAGTGTGGTAGTTAGTGTGGTAGTGAGCGTGTTAGTTAGTGTGTTAGTTAGTGTGGTAGTTAGCGTGGTAGTTAGCGTGGTAGTGAGCGTGTTAGTTAGTGTGTTAGTTAGCGTGGTAGTTAGTGTGGTAGTGAGCTAGCTAGTGTGGTAGTGAGTGTGGTAGTGAGCGTGTTAGTTAGTGTGTTAGTTAGTGTGTTAGTTAGTGTGGTAGTTAGCGTGGTAGTGAGTGTGGTAGTGAGCGTGGTAGTTAGCGTGTTAGTTAGTGTGTTAGTTAGTGTGGTAGTTAGTGTGGTAGTGAGTGTGGTAGTTAGTGTAGTAGTTAGCGTGGTAGTTAGTGTGGTAGTGAGTGTGGTAGTTAGCGTGGTAGTTAGCGTGGTAGTTAGCGTGGTAGTTAGTGTGGTAGTGAGTGTAGTAGTTAGCGTGGTAGTTAGTGTGGTAGTGAGTGTGGTAGTTAGTGTGGTAGTTAGCGTGGTAGTTAGTGTGGTAGTGAGTGTAGTAGTTAGTGTGGTAGTGAGCGTGGTAGTGAGCTAGCTAGTGTGGTAGTGAGTGTGGTAGTTAGTGTGGTAGTTAGCGTGGTAGTTAGCGTGGTAGTTAGTGTGGTAGTTAGTGTGGTAGTTAGCGTGGTAGTTAGTGTGGTAGTTAGTGTGGTAGTTAGTGTGGTAGTTAGCGTGGTAGTTAGCGTGGTAGTTAGTGTGTTAGTTAGCGTGGTAGTTAGCGTGGTAGTTAGTGTGTTAGTTAGTGTGTTAGTTAGTGTGGTAGTGAGCGTGTTAGTTAGCGTGGTAGTGAGTGTGGTAGTGAGTGTGGTAGTTAGTGTGTTAGTTAGCGTGGTAGTTAGCGTGGTAGTGAGAGTAGTAGTTAGTGTGTTAGTTAGTGTGTTAGTTAGCGTGGTAGTTAGCGTGTTAGTTAGTGTGGTAGTGAGCGTGGTAGTTAGCGTGGTAGCGAGCGTGGTAGTTAGCGTGGTAGTTAGTGTGGTAGTTAGCGTGGTAGTTAGCGTGGTAGTTAGCGTGGTAGTGAGCGTGGTAGCGAGCGTGTTAGTTAGCGTGGTAGTGAGCGTGGTAGTTAGTGTGGTAGTTAGTGTGTTAGTTAGTGTGTTAGTTAGTGTAGTAGTTAGCGTGGTAGTTAGTGTGGTAGTTAGCGTGGTAGTGAGAGTAGTAGTTAGTGTGGTAGTTAGTGTGGTAGTTAGTGTAGTAGTGAGCGTGTTAGTTAGTGTAGTAGTTAGTGTGTTAGTTAGTGTGGTAGTTAGCGTGGTAGTGAGCGTGGTAGTGAGTGTAGTAGTTAGTGTTGTAGTTAGTGTAGTAGTTAGTGTGTTAGTTAGTGTGTTAGTTAGTGTGTTAGTGAGCGTGTTAGTTAGTGTGTTAGTTAGTGTAGTAGTGAGCATGTTAGTTAGTGTAGTAGTTAGTGTGTTAGTTAGTGTGGTAGTTAGCGTGGTAGTGAGCGTGGTAGTGAGTGTAGTAGTTAGTGTTGTAGTTAGTGTAGTAGTTAGTGTGTTAGTTAGCGTGGTAGCGAGCGTGGTAGCGAGTGTGTTAGTTAGTGTGTTAGTTAGTGTAGTAGTTAGTGTGTTAGTTAGTGTGTTAGTGAGCGTGGTAGTTAGCGTGGTAGTTAGCGTGTTAGTTAGCGTGGTAGTTAGCGTGGTAGTTAGCGTGGTAGTTAGTGTGTTAGTTAGTGTGTTAGTTAGTGTAGTAGTTAGTGTGTTAGTTAGTGTGTTAGTTAGTGTGTTAGTGTGTTAGTTAGTGTGTTAGTTAGCGTGGTAGTGAGCGTGGTAGTTAGCGTGTTAGTTAGTGTGTTAGTTAGTGTGTTAGTTAGTGTGTTAGTTAGTGTGTTAGTTAGCGTGTTAGTTAGCGTGGTAGTTAGCGTGGTAGTTAGCGTGGTAGTTAGTGTGTTAGTTAGTGTGTTAGTTAGTGTAGTAGTTAGTGTGTTAGTGAGTGTGGTAGTGAGCGTGGTAGCGAGCGTGTTAGTTAGTGTGTTAGTTAGTGTGTTAGTTAGTGTGGTAGTTAGTGTGTTAGTTAGCGTGGTAGTGAGCGTGGTAGCGAGCGAGCGCCGTACAGGGCAGCCCATCGATGTCATCCCCGGCCTGCATGGGCAGCCCGTCGAGGTCGTCCAGGGGGGCCCCGTCCAGCGGCCCGGCGCCCCCCGCCCGGGGGGGCGGCCCCTCCCCTCCTCCTCCACCCCCCTCCCCCTCCTCCCCCTCCTCCTCCTCCTCCAGGGGCGCCCCGTCCACGTCGTCGTCGTCCAGGGGCGCCCCGTCCACCTCCTCCGCCCCCGCCCCCGCCCCCGCCGCCATCGTCGTCATCGTCGTCATCGTCACCCCCAGGCTCATCAGCAGTGAGGCGGCCACCGTGGCGGCGGCGGCGGCGGCGCCGCCACCGGCGCCGCCCAGCAGGGGCAGCGCGCCCAGGGGGATGGCCCCGGCGGCGGCGGCGGCGGGGGGCGGGTCGCCATCGTCCTCCATGGCCTGGGGGGGGGGGGAGGGGGAGTGGGGGGGGAGAGGTGGGCGGGGGGAGTGGGCGAGGGGAAGGGGGGGGAGGGAGAGGTGGACAGGGGGAGTGGGCGAGGGGAAGGGGGGTAGAGGAGAGGGGAGTGGAGTGGGGGGGGGGAGGGGGGGGAGAGAAAGGAGTGGAAAGGGGGGGGGGGGGGGGGGGGAGGGGGAGAGGAGTGGAGGGAGGGGAGGAGTGGGGAGAGTAGTGGGGAGTTGGGGGATAGGGGGAGGGGAGGAGTGGGGAGAGTAGTGGGGAGTTGGGGGATAGGGGGAGGGGAGGAGTGGGGAGAGTAGTGGGGAGTTGGGGGATAGGGGGAGGGGAGGAGTGGGGAGAGTAGTGGGGAGTTGGGGGATAGGGGGAGGGGAGGAGTGGGGAGAGTAGTGGGGAGTTGGGGGATAGGGGGAGGGGAGGAGTGGGGAGAGTAGTGGGGAGTTGGGGGATAGGGGGAGGGGAGGAGTGGGGAGAGTAGTGGGGAGTTGGGGGATAGGGGGAGGGGAGGAGTGGGGAGAGTAGTGGGGAGTTGGGGGATAGGGGGAGGGGAGGAGTGGGGAGAGCAGTGGGGAGTTGGGGGATAGGGGGAGGGGAGGAGTGGGGAGAGTAGTGGGGAGTTGGGGGATAGGGGGAGGGGAGGAGTGGGGAGGGGAGTTGGGAGGAGGTGAGGAGGGGGGGGGGTGGTGTCTGTGAGTCTGCACGGCTCAATAAGAGGTTTGCGTCCGACCCCACGGGGGGACTTATTTTGGTCATGAATGAATGAATGAATGCAGGAATGAACTGACGAACGACTGACCTAATAAGGGCGTGCGCGTGGAACGTGCGTGTGTGCGTGGAACGTGCGTGTGTGCGTGGAACGTGCGTGTGTGCGTGGAACGTGCGTGTGTGCGTGGAACGTGCGTGTGTGCAATGCGTGTGTGCGTGCGTGTGTGCGTGGAACGTGCGTGTGTGTGTGGAACGTGCGTGTGTGCGTGGAACGTGCGTGTGTGCGTGGAACGTGCGTGTGTGCAATGCGTGTGTGCGTGCGTGTGTGCGTGGAACGTGCGTGTGTGTGTGGAACGTGCGTGTGTGCGTGTGTGCGTGGAACGTGCGTGTGTGCGTGGAACGTGGGTGTGTGTGTGGAACGTGCGTGTGTGCGTGTGTGCGTGGAACGTGCGTGGAACGTGCGTGTGTGCGTGGAACGTGCGTGGAACGTGCGTGTGTGCGTGGAACGTGCGTGTGTGCGTGGAACGTGCGTGTGTGCGTGGAACGTGCGTGTGTGCGTGGAACGTGCGGGTGTGCGTGGAACGTGCGTGTGTGCGTGGAACGTGCGTGTGTGCGTGGAACGTGCGTGTGTGCGTGGAACGTGCGTGTGTGCGTGGAACGTGCGTGTGTGCGTGGAACGTGCGTGTGTGTGTGCAATGTGCGCGTGCGTGCGTGTGTGCGTGGAACGTGCGTGTGTGTGTGGAACGTGCGTGTGTGCGTGTGTGCGTGGAACGTGCGTGTGTGCGTGGAACGTGGGTGTGTGTGTGGAACGTGCGTGTGTGCGTGTGTGCGTGGAACGTGCGTGGAACGTGCGTGTGTGCGTGGAACGTGCGTGGAACGTGCGTGGAACGTGCGTGTGTGCGTGGAACGTGGGTGTGTGTGTGGTACGTGCGTGTGTGCGTGTGTGCGTGGAACGTGCGTGGAACGTGCGTGGAACGTGCGTGGAACGTGCGTGTGTGCGTGGAACGTGCGTGTGTGCGTGGAACGTGCGTGTGTGCGTGGAACGTGCGTGTGTGCGTGGAACGTGCGTGGAACGTGCGTGTGTGCGTGGAACGTGCGTGGAACGTGCGTGTGTGCGTGGAACGTGCGTGTGTGCGTGGAACGTGCGTGGAACGTGCGTGGAACGTGCGTGGAACGTGCGTGTGTGCGTGGAACGTGCGTGTGTGCGTGGAACGTGCGTGCGAGCGTAGTACCACGGAGACTTCCTTGCCGTCGTCGTTGATCCGCACGAGTCCCAGGAAGACGTTCTGGAGCTTGATGAGGAACGAGTCCGGGTACACGGCCCAGTCCTCCCACGCGCGGAAACACGACATCACCTTTTGCTGCACGCACGGCACGCAAACACACCACGACACGCACACCACACACAAAGAGGCAGCAGCAGGAGCAGTAGTAGTAGCGCAGTAACAGAAGTAGCAGCAGGAGTAGTAGTAGAAGCAGCAGTAGTATCAGCAGCAGTAGTATCAGCAGCAGTAGTAGCAGCAGAAGTAGTAGCAGCAGAAGTAGCAGTAGTGGTATTAGTAGCGGCAGTAGTAGAAGTATCAGCAGCAGTAGTAGTAGTATCAGCAGCAGTAGTAGCAGCAGTAGTAGTAGTATCAGCAGCAGTAGTAGTAGTATCAGCAGCAGTAGTATCAGCAGCAGTAGTAGTATCAGCACCAGTAGTAGTATCATCAGCAGTAGTAGTAGCAGCAGTAGTATCAGCAGTAGTAGTAGTATCAGCAGCAGTAGTAGTAGTATCAGCAGAAGTAGTAGTAGTATCAGCAGCAGTAGTAGTAGTATCAGCAGCAGTAGTAGTATCAGCAGCAGTAGTAGTAGTATCAGCAGCAGTAGTAGCAGCAGTAGTAGTAGTATCAGCAGCAGTAGTAGTAGTATCAGCAGCAGTAGTAGTAGTATCAGCAGTATCAGCAGTAGCAGCAGTGAACGTGGGAAGCGTTGAGGGAGGCAGGGACAATAGGGTGGGAGAGAGATGTCGTAGAGTTTTAGTTTTCCCCCTCGTTCCGTGTTCATCGCCACTGGGGGAGACAAAGGCGGCCGGGCACGGTGCTGGCCACCCACAACCCACCCCCACCCCCCCTCCCCGTGTACCACCGTGCCGGCCTTCACAGGCGCTGCGACTCACAGCGCTTGCACCTGACAAGTCTGTTGAGGCTACGTAGCCACACACAGACACACACAGACGCACACACGCGCACACACGCGAACACACACACACACACACACCGCCACACCCCAGGCAGGACGACAGGTCAGCGAGAGACTCCGCACCTTGAATTGCTCGGCCTGCAGGCGCCCTTGGATGGACTTGTAGACCTCGTGGATGTCGGCGAAGATCTGCGGCAGCTTGGCCTCGAAGCTGGCGGAGGGGACAAGTGCCGAGAGCGTGCGATGGTGAACGGCGGTGGCGATGGTGGTGGTGTGACGGTGGCGGTGATGGTTGTGGTGGTGGCGGTGGTGGTGGTGGTGGCGGCGACGGCAGTGGTGGTGGCGGTGATGGTTGTGGTGATGGCGGTGGTGAAGGCGGTGGTGATGGCGGTGATGGTGGTCGTGGTCATCGCGGTGATGACGGTGGTGGCAGTGGCGATGGAGCCAGTGGTGGCGGTGGCGACGTGAGCTAAGCTGACATACGCAACGTACGTACGTATGTACGTGAACTTACCCAATTTTTATTTTACCAGGTAAGGCCTCCACTGAGCTAAAGACCCGTCGAGAACCATACTCAGAGACCCATAGACCCACAGAGACCCATACGCAAAGAGACCCACAGACCCGGAAACTCGTATAGGACCAGAGACCCACAGGGTCCCAACAAACTTTCAACGGTTTCGACTTTATACTTCATACTCTTCGGTTTTATTCGGTAAAGTCACGTGACTATACCGAATAAAACCAGAGAGTATGAATCCTTGCAGTCACGAAAGCTTCAAATCCAGGTTTCGACTTTACCAGGTAAGGCATCAACCGAAGCTGCTGTGTTAGTCGTTCACTTTCCAGAAGCGATTCTGGCCGTCACAAATGACAGCTGCTCAACAAATTGGCAGCTCATCATCGTCATCATCATCACAAGGCCGTAGCCATGGAGTCAACAGTGGGAGGGACCAAATCTTCCAGGGGGTCTGGGGTTCCTCCCCCCCCCACCCCTCCCCAGAAAAAAAAATGTAAATTTAAAAACGAATGTCCTGCCTATAACATAAAAAAAAAATTTCACTAACACATAGGATGGACTTTTGATTAATTTTTTTTACAATAACGTCTAATAGTGTTATTGTATTACATCGCTCTGTTTTTTTTTTATTTTTCTTGTTTCATTGTATGCAATGGCAGATGATGAGGGATTCATAGAGTAGAACCATAACCACAATCATATAAACAGAAATCTATTTTATAGCAATATATTGGGGGGGGACATTTTGAGCATATTTGAATATTGGGGGGGGGGGTTGTGTCCACCCCCCCAATATATATTTTATAATTACGGCCTTGCCTCATCGTCATCATCACGTGGAAAGTTATAGCAGCGGCCAACTAATCTGCATCACGTGACGTCTATTCTAAATGCGGAGGGGGTAAAAAACAGACTGGAGGACCCCCGGAGAAAAGTCCACGTGATCACGGCGAGAGGTAAGGAGAGAGAGAGACGCAGCTTTCAAATATACAGCAGGATCGTGATCGATCCTAAGACCTCCTGTGTACCAGAAGAGGTCATTAACATATCCTAGCCACCGTGTGTGCTGAACTTCTTTCACACCGTACGTAGCCAACCGTGCTGTGTGTATGTGTTGAACTTCTATCACACCGTACGTAGCCAGCCGTGCTGTGTGTTGAACTTCTATCACATCGTACGTAGCCAACCGTGGTGTGTGTTGAACTTCTTTTGCACCGTACGTAGCCAACCGTGGTGTGTGTTGAACTTCTTTCACACCGTACGTAGCCAACCATGCTATGTGTGTATGTTGAACTTCTTTTGCACCGTACGTAGCCAACCGTGATGTGTGTTGAACTTCTTTCACACCGTACGTAGCCAACCATGCTGTGTGTGTGTTGAACTTCTTTTTCACCGTACGTAGCCAACCGTGCTGTGTGTGTGTTGAACTTATTTCACACCATAAGTAGACAACCGTGATATGTGTGTGTGTGTTGAACTTATTTCACACCATACGTAGACAACCGTGATATGTGTGTGTGTGTTGAACTTATTTCACACCATACGTAGACAACCGTGCTATGTGTGTGTGTTGAACTTCTATCGCACCGTACGTAGCCAATCGTGCTATGTGTGTGTGTGTGTTGAACTTATTTCACACCATAAGTAGACAACCGTGATATGTGTGTGTGTGTTGAACTTATTTCACACCATACGTAGACAACCGTGATATGTGTGTGTGTGTTGAACTTATTTCACACCATACGTAGACAACCGTGCTATGTGTGTGTGTTGAACTTCTATCGCACCGTACGTAGCCAATCGTGCTATGTGTGTGTGTGTGTGTTGAACTTATTTCACACCATAAGTAGACAACCGTGATATGTGTGTGTGTGTTGAACTTATTTCACACCGTACGTAGACAACCGTGATATGTGTGTGTGTGTTGAACTTATTTCACACCATACGTAGACAACCGTGCTATGTGTGTGTGTTGAACTTCTATCGCACCGTACGTAGCCAATCGTGCTATGTGTGTGTGTGTGTTGAACTTCTATCCCACCGTGCGTAGCCAACCGTGCTGTGTGTGTGTGTGTTAAACTTCTTTCACACCGTACGTAGCCAACCGTGCTGTGTGTGTGTTGAACTTCTTTCCCACCGTGCGTAGCCAACCGTGCTATGTGTGTGTGTGTGTTGAACTTCTATCACACCGTACGTAGCCAACCGTGCTGTGTGTGTGTTGAACTTCTTTCCCACCGTGCGTAGCCAACCGTGCTATGTGTGTGTGTGTTAAACTTCTTTCCCACCGTGCGTAGCCAACCGTGCTGTGTGTGTGTGTTGAACTTCTTTCCCACCGTGCGTAGCCAACCGTGCTATGTGTGTGTGTGTTAAACTTCTTTCCCACCGTGCGTAGCCAACCGTGCTGTGTGTTGAACTTCTATCACACCGTACGTAGCCAACCGTGCTGTGTGTGTGTGTTGAACTTCTTTCACACCGTACATAGCCAACCGTGCTGTGTGTGTGTGTTAAACTTCTTTCCCACCGTGCGTAGCCAACCGTGCTGTGTGTGTGTGTGTTGAACTTCTTTCCCACCGTACGTAGCCAACCGTGCTGTGTGTGTGTACTCACTATTTCCTGTAGTAGGAGGCGTTGGCGACCTTCGCGCACGAGTTGTGCAGGATGTCCGACACGACATAGAGACGGGCGATCTGGGGGAATGACAAGATCGCCAGTCTTGTTTTCGTAACAGCAGCAGGAAAGAGGAGAAATACGATGGGAGCCGTGAGGCTCCTTCGTCACAAATGTCCGGCCGGGGGGCACGGGGTAAGAACGTCACAACGGCAAAAAAAAAGATAAAGATAAAGATCCCCCTCGTAGCCTTTAGCAGACTGTAGGGGCAAGTGCTGTTATAGCTAGCACCTACTAAGGCCGCAACGGGACACGAGAGGGGGGTGTGGGGTGGCCAGCACCACGCCCGACCGCCTTTGTCTCCCCAGTGGCGATGTTTACTACACAGCGCACCAGGGTACTCATGTGAGGCCGAGTCGACCCAGGGGAGGCCCGGGACCGGTTGGGATAATCGTCACCGGTGTTGGGCCGTGAGCGAGAACCGAACCCGGGTCGCCGGGTTCGTAGCGCTAACCGCTGCCCCACCGTTCGCAACAGCAAACACGATAGGCGTGCAAAGTACAATAAGGTAAAAGACTCTTTGGTTGTCTCGGTAAAGTCACGTAGAAATAAAATAAATAAATAAATAGATGCGAAGTTTCGATTGCAACACAAGCAGCCGTCGTCAGGAAAGAACTAAAAACACAGACACGGAGACACGCAGACAGACACACAAGCAGAGAGAGACAACACTCTGTGTGGCTATGTTGTGTGGCTGTGTTGTGTCTCTGTGTTGTTTTTAGGTAGGGAGGCAGGGAGGGAGGGAGGGCAGGGAGGGGTGGGAGGGAGGGGTGGGTAGGAGGGAGAGAGGCAGGGAGGGAGGCAGGGGGGGGGGTGGGAGGGAGGGAGGGAGGGAGGCAGGGAGGGGTGGGAGGGAGGCAGGGAGGGGTGGGCAGGAGGGAGGGAGGCAGGGAGGGGTGGGTAGGAGGGAGGGAGTGGAGGCAGGGAGGGGTGGGCAGGGAGGGGTGGGAGGAAGGCAGGGAGGGGTGGGTAGGATGGAGGGAGTGGAGGTAGGGAGGGAGGCAGGGAGGGGTGGGGGAGGGAGGCAGGGAGGGGTGGGGGAGGGAGGGAGTTAGTGCAGGCAGGGAGGGGTGGGAGGGAGGCAGGGAGGGGTGGGCAGGAGGGAGGGAGTGGAGGCAGGGAGGTGTGGGCAGGGAGGGGTAGGAGGGAGGGAGTGGAGGCAGGGAGGGAGTGGAGGTAGGGAGGGGTGGGCAGGGAGGGGTGGCAGGGAGGGGTAGGAGGGAGGGAGTGGAGGTAGGGAGGGAGTGGAGGCAGGGAGGGGTGGGCAGGGAGTGGAGGCAGGCAGGCGTGGGCAGGAGGGAGGGAGTGGGCGACACGCCGGCACCTTCTTCGGCAGCGGCGTCTGCAGGATGGAGAGCGACTCGGCGATGCACTCCACCACCTCCTCGGCCGCCTCAGCGTGCTGCAGGCAGAAGGCCATGGCGTCGCCGATCTCCGACTTGCGCGGCGTCAGCCCCCTCAGCACGTTCTCCAGCTTGTCCCGCTCGCTGCGCGGGGGAAAACAAAGACAAAGGTCCCCCGCGTAGCCTGCCAACACCCTGCTGCTGCTGCTGCTGCTGGGGGGGGCCAAGTGCTGTTGGCGGGGCAGCGCCTATGGAGGCTACCGGCACGCGGTGGCGCGCGACGGGGGGTGGGGTGGCCCAGCAACCACGCCCGGCCGCCTTTGTCTCTCCCCCAGCGGCGATGTTTTACCACACCCGGACCCCGCCAACTCGTTTGAGGCCGAGTCGACCTGGGGGAGGCCCCGGGAGCCGGTTTCAATCGTCACTGCCGGCGGTGGCAGTGGAGCAGTAGACACTCGGGCCGCCGGGGTTCGTAGTGCGGCGCACGCTAACCGCTACACTTGAGGCACTTGGCGCGGTGACGTCACCACGGCGCTTGTGCCAGGCTAGGTGCACACTTTAAGGCCACGTGAAGTATCCGAACGCCCGCCGCAGTGCAGCAGTGTAGTGTGGGTGGAGTGGGGCGTGGCCACGGTGCAGTGCAGTAGTGGTGTTGTGAAGCATGGTGCAGTGCAGTGGTCTTGTGCAGCAGTGTATTGCAGTAGTGCAGTGCAGTAGTGCAGTGCGGTGTAGCATGGTTCAGTGTGGTGTGGTAGTGTAGTGTGGTAGTGTAGTGTGGTAGTGCAGTGTGGTAGTGTAGTGTGGTGCCGTGTAGTGTGGTAGTGTAGTGTGATAGTGTAGTGTGGTAGTGTGGTAGTGTAGTGTGATAGTGTAGTGTGGTGCAGTGGTGTGGTGCCGTGTAGTGTGGTAGTGTAGTGTGATAGTGTAGTGTGGTGCAGCGTGGTGCAGTGTAGTGTGGTAGTGAAGTGTAGTGTGGTAGTGTAGTGTGGTAGTGTAGTGTGGTGTAGTGTGGTGTGATAGTGTAGTGTGGTAGTGTAGTGTGGTGTAGTGTGGTGTGATAGTGTAGTGTGGTAGTGTAGTGTGGTGTAGTGTAGTGTGGTGTAGTGTGGTGTGATAGTGTAGTGTGGTAGTGTAGTGTGGTGTAGTGTGGTGTGATAGTGTAGTGTGGTAGTGTAGTGTGGTGTAGTGTAGTGCAGTGTAGCGTGGTGCAGTGTAGTGTGATAGTGTAGTGTGGTAGTGTAATGTGGTAGTGTAGTGTTGTGCAGTGGTGTGGTGCCGTGTAGTGTGGTAGTGTAGTGTGGTGTAGTGTAGTGTGGTAGTGTAGTGTGGTAGTGTAGTGTGGTGTAGTGTGGTGTGATAGTGTAGTGTGGTAGTGTAGTGTGGTGTAGTGTAGTGTGGTAGTGTAGTGTGGTAGTGTAGTGTGGTAGTGTAGTGTGGTAGTGTAGTGTGGTGTAGTGTAGTGTGGTGCAGTGTAGTGTGGTGTAGTGTGATAGTCTAGTGTGGTGTAGTGTGGTGGTGAAGTGTAGCGTGGTGCAGTGTAGTGTGGTAGTGTAGTGTGGTGTAGTGTGGTAGTGTAGTGTGGTAGTGTAGTGTGGTAGTGTAGTGTGGTGCCGTGTAGTGTGGTGTAGTGTAGTGTGGTGGTGTAGTGTAGTGTGGTGTGGTAGTGTAGTGTGGTAGTGCAGTGTGGTGCCGTGTAGTGTGGTGCCGTGTAGTGTGGTGCCGTGTAGTGTGGTAGTGTAGTGTGGTAGTGTAGTGTGGTAGTGTAGTGTGGTGCCGTGTAGTGTGGTGTAGTGTGGTGTGGTAGTGTAGTGTAGTGTGGTAGTGTAGTGTAGTGTGGTGCCGTGTAGTGTGGTGCCGTGTAGTGTGGTAGTGTAGTGTAGTGTGGTAGTGTAGTGTGGTGCCGTGTAGTGTCGTGTAGCATGGTGCAGTGTAGTGCAGTGTAGTGTGGTAGTGTAGTGTGGCAGTGTAGTGTGGCAGTGCAGTGTGATAGTGTAGTGTGGTGTGATAGTGTAGTGTGATAGTGTAGTGTGGCAGTGTAGTGTGGTAGTGCAGTGTGATAGTGTAGTGTGGGGTAGTGTGGTGTGATAGTGTAGTGTGGCAGTGTAGTGTGGTGTAGTGTGGTGTGATAGTGTAGTGTGGCAGTGTAGTATGGTAGTGCAGTGTGATAGTGTAGTGTGGTAGTGCAGTGTGGCAGTGTAGTGTGGTAGTGCAGTGTGATAGTGTAGTGTGGTGTGTGGCAGTGCGGTGTGTTGCAGCCTATCGTGGCAGTGCATCGCAAGTATGGTGCAGCATTGAGCGGTGCGTGCGCGCGAGTGGTGCTGCCCCTCACTCCTCCTTGAGCTGCCCCTTCTTGAGCGGCTGCTCGCTCTCGCTGCCCTCCGCCAGGCCCTGCAGCAGCAGCGGCTCCAGCTCCTCGGGCATCCCCTGCAGGTACGGGTTGAGGGGCGGCGGGCGCCACACCGAGCCGCCCTCGAACATCCGGAACTCGGCCGTGCGCCAGCGCGTCGCCGAGTCGCCCTGCGGGTCGTGGGGGGGAAGGGTCACGGAATGGCGGGTAGCAGGGCCAATCATGCGGGTCTCTGTGCAAGTCTACGGGTCTCTGTGTGTGCATACCGGTCTGTGTGAGGGTCTACGGGTCTCTGTGTGAGTCTATGGGTGTCTCTGTGTGAGTCTACGGGTCTGTGTGAGAGTCTACGGGTCTCTGTGTGAGTCTACGGATCTCTGGGTGAGTCTATGGGTGTCTCTGTGTGAGTCTACGGGTCTCTGTGTGCGAGTCTACTGGTCTCTGTGTGAGTCTACGGGTCTGTGTGTGAGTCTATGGGTGTCTCTGTGTGTGTATACCGGTCTGTGTGAGAGTCTACGGGTCTCTGTGTGAGTCTTTGGGTCTCTGTGCGAGTCTACGGGTTTCTGTGTGAGTCTACGGGTCTCTGTGCGAGTCTACGGGTCTTTGTGTGAGTCTATGGGTGTCTCTGTGTGAGTCTATGGGTGTCTCTGTGTGTGCATACCGGTCTGTGTGAGAGTCTACGGGTCTCTGTGTGAGTCTACGGGTCTCTTTGTGTGAGTCTACGGGTCTCTGTGTGAGTCTACGGGTCTCTGTGTGAGTCTACAGGTCTCTGTGTGAGTCTATGGGTGTCTCTGTGTGTGTATACCGGTCTGTGTGCGAGTCTACGGGTCTCTGTGTGAGTCTACGGGTCTCTGTGTGCGAGTCTACTGGTCTCTGTGTGAGTCTATGGGTCTCTGTGTGAGTCTACAGGTCTCTGTGTGAGTCTATGGGTATCTGTGTGAGTCTACAGGTCTCTGTGTGAGTCTATGGGTGTCTCTGTGTGTGTATACCGGTCTGTGTGTGAGTCTACGGGTCTCTGTGTGAGTCTACGGGTCTCTGTGTGAGTCTATGGGTGTCTTTGTGTGTATACCGGTCTGTGTGTGAGTCTACGGGTCTCTGTGTGAGTCTACGGGTCTCTGTGTGAGTCTATGGGTGTCTTTGTGTGAGTCTACGGGTCTCTGTGTGAGTCTACGGGTCTCTGTGCGAGTCTATGGGTGTCTCTGTGTGTGTATACCGGTCTGTGTGCGAGTCTACGGGTCTCTGTGTGAGTCTTTGGGTCTCTGTGTGAGTCTACGGGTCTCTGTGTGAGTCTATGGGTGTCTTTGTGTGAGTCTACGGGTCTCTGTGTGAGTCTACGGGTCTCTGTGCGAGTCTATGGGTGTCTCTGTGTGTGTATACCGGTCTGTGTGAGAGTCTACGGGTCTCTGTGTGAGTCTTTGGGTCTCTGTGCGAGTCTACGGGTCTCTGTGTGAGTCTACGGGTCTCTGTGCGAGTCTACGGGTCTTTGTGTGAGTCTATGGGTGTCTCTGTGTGAGTCTATGGGTGTCTCTGTGTGTGCATACCGGTCTGTGTGAGAGTCTACGGGTCTCTGTGTGAGTCTACGGGTCTCTTTGTGTGAGTCTACGGGTCTCTGTGTGAGTCTACGGGTCTCTGTGTGAGTCTACAGGTCTCTGTGTGAGTCTATGGGTGTCTCTGTGTGTGTATACCGGTCTGTGTGCGAGTCTACGGGTCTCTGTGTGAGTCTACGGGTCTCTGTGTGCGAGTCTACTGGTCTCTGTGTGAGTCTATGGGTCTCTGTGTGAGTCTACAGGTCTCTGTGTGAGTCTATGGGTATCTGTCTGAGTCTACAGGTCTCTGTGTGAGTCTATGGGTGTCTCTGTGTGTGTATACCGGTCTGTGTGTGAGTCTACGGGTCTCTGTGTGAGTCTACGGGTCTCTGTGTGAGTCTATGGGTGTCTTTGTGTGTATACCGGTCTGTGTGTGAGTCTACGGGTCTCTGTGTGAGTCTACGGGTCTCTGTGTGAGTCTACGGGTCTCTGTGTGAGTCTATGGGTGTCTTTGTGTGAGTCTACGGGTCTCTGTGTGAGTCTACGGGTCTCTGTGCGAGTCTATGGGTGTCTCTGTGTGTGTATACCGGTCTGTGTGCGAGTCTACGGGTCTCTGTGTGAGTCTTTGGGTCTCTGTGTGAGTCTACGGGTCTCTGTGTGAGTCTATGGGTGTCTCTGTGTGTGTATACCGGTCTGTGTGTGAGTCTACGGGTCTCTGTGTGAGTCTACGGGTCTCTGTGTGAGTCTACGGGTCTCTGTGTGAGTCTACGGGTCTCTGTGTGAGCCTATGGGTGTTTCTGTGTGTGTATACCGGTCTGTGTGTGAGTCTACGGGTCTCTGTGCGAGTCTACGGGTCTCTGTGTGAGTCTACAGATCTCTGTGTGAGTCTATGGGTCTCTCTGTGTGAGTCTACGGGTCTCTGTGTGAGTTTATGGGTCTCTCTGTGTGAGTCTACGGGTCTATGTGTGAGTCTATGGGTGTCTCTGTGTGTGCATACCGGTCTGTGTATGAGTCTACGGGTCTCTGTGTGAGTCTACGGGTCTCTGTGTGAGTCTATGGGTCTCTCTGTGTGAGTCTACGGGTCTCTGTGTGAGTCTACAGGTCTTTGTGTGAGTCTACGGGTCTCTGTGTGAGTTTATGGGTGACTCTGTGTGAGTCTACAGGTCTCTGTGTGAGTCTACAGGTCTCTGTGTGAGTCTATGGGTGTCTCTGTGTGTGTATACCGGTCTGTGTGAGTCTACGGGTCTCTGTGCGAGTCTACGGGTCTCTGTGTGAGTCTACGGGTCTCTGTGTGAGTCTACGGGTCTCTGTGTGAGTCTACGGGTCTTTGTGTGAGTCTATGGGTGTCTCTGTGTGTGCATACCGGTCTGTGTATGACTCTACGGGTCTCTGTGTGAGTCTATGGGTCACTCTCTGTGTGAGTCTACGGGTCTCTGTGTGAGTCTATGGGTCTCTCTGTGTGAGTCTACGGGTCTCTGTGTGAGTCTACGGGTCTGTGTGTGAATCTACGGGTCTCTGTGTGAGTCTTTGGGTCTCTCTGTGTGAGTCTATGGGTTTCTCTGTGAGTCTATGGGTCTCTGTGTGAGTCTACAGGTCTCTGTGTGAGTCTATGGGTGTCTCTGTGTGTGTATACCGGTCTGTGTGTGAGTCTACGGGTCTCTGTGTGAGTCTTTGGGTCTCTGTGTGAGTCTACGGGTCTCTGTGTGAGTCTACGGGGTCTCTCTGTGCGAGTCCATGCGTCTCTCTGTGTGAGTCTACAGATCTCTGTGTGAGTCTATGGGTCTCTCTGTGTGAGTCTACGGGTCTCTGTGTGAGTCTATGGGTCTCTCTGTGTGAGTCTATGGGTCTCTCTGTGTGAGTCTACAGGTCTCTGTGTGAGTCTACGGGTCTCTGTGTGAGTCTACGGGTCTTTGTGTGAGTCTATGCGTGTCTCTGTGTGTGCATACCGGTCTGTGTATGACTCTACGGGTCTCTGTGTGAGTCTATGGGACTCTCTGTGTGAGTCTACGGGTCTCTGTGTGTGAGTCTATGGGTCTCTCTGTGTGAGTCTACGGGTCTCTGTAGACTCACACATGTACTAGGTGCCTCTGTGGATGTGTAATCTTTGACTTCAACATAGCTATTTCTGCGACCAGTCACAAGCTAATCCCTCAGCTATTTCAATGCTAAATTCTTCTGTTTGATATGTAAACTCCTTTGTCAAGGTGCCTCACTTCTCTCACCCAGCTTAAAAGACGCTACGAATCTTAGCAGCGTTCATTGAAGCTCTGCCGTCCCGACAGTTCTGTTCCTTCACCTGAAGAAGGCTACTTGTGTTGTGGCTGATACGTCGTGATTTTTGTTGTTTTATTTTTTACCTACGTGACTTTACTGAATAGAACCAAAGAGTATGGATCCTTGCAGTCACGAAAGCTTCAAACCTAGGATTGAGTCTGCGGGTCTCTCTGTGCGAGTCCATGGGTCTCTCTGTGTGAGTCTACAGATCTCTGTGTGAGTCTATGGGTCTCTCTGTGTGAGTCTATGGGTCTCTCTGTGTGAGTCTATGGGTCTCTCTGTGTGAGTCTATGGGTCTCTCTGTTTGAGTCTACGGGTCTCTCTGTGTGAGTCTACGGGTCTCTGTGTGAGTCTATGGGTCTCTGTGTGAGTCTTTGGATCTCTGTGAGTCTACGGATCTCTGTGTGAATCTATGGGTCTCTATGTGAGTCTATGGGTCTTGACGTGAGTCCATGGGTCCTGTGCGAGTCGTCGGATCTCAGAGTCTATGGGTCCCTGTGAGTCTATGGGTCTCTGTGAATCAATGGGTTTCTGTGTGAGTCTATGAGTCTCTATGAGTCTATAGGTCTGTGTAACTGTCTCTGAATGAGTCTATGGGTCTATGTGTGAATCTATAGGTATCTGTGCGAGTCTATGGATCTCTGTGCTAGTCTATGGATCTCTGTGCAAGTCTACGGGTCTCGGTGTGAGTCTATAGGTCTCTGTGAGTCTATAGGTCTGTGTGAGTCTATGGGTTTCTGTGTGAGTCTATGGATCTCTGTGCTAGTCTATGAGTCTCTGTGCTAGTCTACGGGTCTCGGTGTGAGCCTCAGCGTCTCGGTGTGAGCTTCAGGGTCTCGGTGTGAGTCTATGGGTCTCTGTGCATGAGTCTAAGGGTCTCTGTGCATGAGTCTATGGGTCTCTGTGCATGAGTCTATAGGTCTCTGTGAGTCTATGGGTCTCTGTGCGAGTCTATAGATCTCTGTGCGAGTCTACGGGTCTCGGTGTGAGCCTCAGGGTCTCGGTGTGAGTCTACGGGTCTGTGCATGAGTCTATGGGTCTCTGTGAGTCTATAGGTCTGTGTGAGTCTATGGGTCTCTGTGCGAGTCCATGGATCTCTGTGCGAGTGTATAGATCTCTGTGCGAGTCTACGGGTCTCGGTGTGAGCCTCAGGGTCTCGGTGTGAGTCTACGGGTCTCTGTGCATGAGTCTGCGGGTCTCTGTGCATGTTTACGGGTCTGTGCATGAGTCTATAGGTCTCTGTGAGTCTACAGGTCTCTGTGAGTCTATAGGTCTCTGTAAGTCTATGGGTCTCTGTGCGAGTCCACGGATCTCTGTGCTAGTCTACGGATCTCTGTGCGAGTCTACGGGTCTCGGTGTGAGCCTCAGGGTCTCGGTGTGAGTCTACGGGTCTGTGCATGAGTCTATGGGTCTCTGTGAGTCTATGGGTCTCTGTGAGTCTATAGGTCTGTGTGAGTCTATGGGTCTCTGTGCGAGTCTATGGATCTCTGTGCTAGTCAAAAATCTCTGTGCATGAGTCTACGGGTCTCTGTGCATGAGTCTACGGGTCTCTGTGCGAGTTCAGACCCAGACCTCAAATCGGACCCATCGCCTCCCAGGAGTTTACCTGCAGGATGGAAAACAGCCTCCAGCGGTAATAGACGTGGGCTGGACTTTGGTTGTCAAAGAGAAATCTACAACACACGCACACGGCATGCGAGCCAGCCACCGTCAACGCCACGCGCACGGCTTGCAGCCAAGAATCAGAATCTGTATGTATGTATGCAGGAGCAATCCGATGAGCTGTAAAGCTCTTTTGCACACAGATGTGTTGGTTGGGGGGGGGGGGGTGGTCACACGGGGTAAGAACGTTACAACAACAAATACACAGATTCCCCGTGTAACCTGTAATAGACTGTTGGGGCAAGTGCTGTTTGCGAGTACCTATGAAGGCTACCGTCACTGTGGCACACGAGGGGGTGGGTGGCAGCACCACGCCCAGGCCGCCTTTGTCTCCCCAGTGTCGATGTTTACTACACATCCCATCAGGTACTCATTTGAGGCTGAGTCGCCATAGGGGGAGGGCCCAGGACCGGTTCAGACCCAGCGGTCGAACCCAGTCTCTCCAGAATACTGGGAGTGTCTCCGACACGACCATTGTGAACGCAATAAGAGACACCCAGACACAGGGGTCGAACCCAGTCTCTCCGGAGTACTGGGAGTGTCTCCGACACGACCATTGTGAACCCAATAAGAGACACCCAGACCCAGGGGTCGAACCCAATCTCTCCAGAATACTGGGAGTGTCTCTGACACGACCATTGTGAACCCAATAAGAGACACGCAGACCCAGGGGTCGAACCCAATCTCTCCAGAATACTGGGAGTGTCTCCGACACGACCATTGTGAACCCAATAAGAGACACCCAGGCCTCGAACTCAGGCTCTCGGCAATGCTGGCTGTGTCTCCGCCATGGCCATTATCGACCCAATAAAAGAGACGCCCAAGCCCAGGGCTTTAACCCAGGCGCTTGGTCGTTACTGGTTCAGCGTCTCCGCCACGGCCATTGTGAGCCTGCCGAGAAACTCCCAGGGCCCAGGCCTCGAACCGAGGCACTCGAGAGTACTGGCAGTGTCTCCGCCACGGCCGCTGTGAACCTGCTGGTGCCGGGTGGGAAGAGTGCGGGCACCTCACCTGTACATGGGGTTGTTTATCTCCCGGCTCATGATGATGGCTTCGAAGAGCGGTCCCTCGCGCACCACAAACTCGATCATGCGGTGGATGAGGCACAGCAGGGGCCTGTGGCACAGCACCGAGGCATCACGCACGGCCCCCGCAGCCAGTTACCCAGCTACCCACTGAGCCAGCTACCTACCCACTCACCTACCGACTCACCTATCCAGTTACCTAACCACTCATGTACTGACTCACCTATCCAGCTACCTACCCACTCACCTACCGACTCACCTAGCTAGCTACCTAACCATCCACCTATCTAAATACCAAACCACTCACAGACCAACTCACCTATCCACCTACCTACCCACTCACCTATCAACCTACCCACTCACCTATCCACCGACCTACCCACTCACCTATCCACCGACCTACCCACTCACCTATCCAGCTACCCACCCACTCACCTATCCAACTACCCACACACTCACCTATCAACCTACCAACTCACCTATACAACTACCTACCCAGTCACGTATCCACTTACCAACCAACTCACCTATCCAGCTACCTACCCACTCATCTATCAACCTACCCACTCACCTATCAACCTACCAACTCGCCTATCCAACTACCTACCCACTCACCTATCCACCTACCTACCAACTCACCTATCCAGCTACCTACCCACTCATCTATCAACCTACCCGCTCACAAATCAATCTACCAACTCACCTATCCAACTACCTACCCACTCACCTATCCACCTACCTACCAACCCACCTATCCAGCTACCTACCCACTCATCTATCAACCTACCTGCTCACCTATCAACCTACCAACTCACCTATCCAACTACCTACCCACTCACCTATCCACCTACCTACCAACTCACCTATCCAGCTACCTACCCACCCATCTATCAACCTACCCACTCACCTATCAACCTACCAACTCACCTATCCAACTACCTACCCACTCACCTATCCACCTACATACCAACTCACCTATCCAGCTACCTACCCACTCATCTATCAACCTACCCGCTCACCTATCAACCTACCAACTCACCAATCCAACTACCTACCCACTCACCTATCCACCTACCTACCAACCCACCTATCCAGCTACCTACCCACTCATCTATCAACCTACCCGCTCACCTATCAACCTACCAACTCACCTATCCAACTACCTACCCACTCACCTATCCACCTACCTACCAACTAACTCACCTATCCAGCTACCTACCCACCCATCTATCAACCTACCCGCTCACCTATCAACCTACCAACTCACCTATCCAACTACCTACCCACTCACCTATCCACCTACCAACTCACCTATCCAGCTACCTACCCACTCATCTATCAACCTACCCGCTCACCTATCCATCTACCAACTCACCTATCCAACTACCTACCCACTCACCTATCCACCTACCTACCAACTCACCTATCCAGCTACCTACCCACTCATCTATCAACCTACCCGCTCACCTATCAACCTACCAACTCACCTATCCAACTACCTACCCACTCACCTATCCACCTACCTACCAACTAACTCACCTATCCAGCTACCTACCCACCCATCTATCAACCTACCCGCTCACCTATCAACCTACCAACTCACCTATCCAACTACCTACCCACTCACCTATCCACCTACCTACCAACTCACCTATCCAGCTACCTACCCACTCATCTATCTACCTACTCGCTCACCTATCTACCCACTCACCTACCCACTCACCTATCCATCTAGCTATTCATATGTTGAATTTCTTTCACACCGTACGTAGCCAACCGTGCTGTGTGTTGAACTTTTCGAAACTGTACATAGCCAACTGTGCTCTGTGTGTGTTGAACTTTTCGCACCATACATAGCCAACCGTGCTGTATGTGTGTTGAACTTCTTTCACACCGTACGTAGCCAACCGCGCTATGTGCGTGTGTGTGTTGAACTTCTAACGCACCGTACGTAGCCAACCGTGCTATGTGTGTGTGTGTGTGGAACTTCTAACGCACCGCACGTAGCCAACCGTGCTATGTGTTGAATTTCTATCGCACCGTTTGTAGCCAACCGTCCTATGTGTGTGTGTGCGTTGAACTTCTAACGCACCGCACGTAGCCAACAGCGCTATGTGTGTGTGTGTTGAACTTCTAACGCACCGCACGTAGCCAACCGTGCTATGTGTGTGTGTGTGTGTTGAATTTCTTTCGCACCGCACGTAGCCAACCGTGCTATGTGTGTGTGTTGAACTTCTAACGCACCGCACGTAGCCAACCGTGCTATGTGTGTGTGTGTGGAACTTCTAACGCACCGCACGTAGCCAACCGTGCTATGTGTGTGTGTGCGTTGAACTTCTAACGCACCGCACGTAGCCAACCGTGCTATGTGTGTGTGTGTGTGTTGAACTTCTAACGCACCGCACGTAGCCAACCGTGCTGTGTGTTGAATTTCTATCGCACCGCACGTAGCCAACCGTGCTATGTGTGTGTGTGCGTTGAACTTCTAACACACCGTACGTAGCCAACAACACTCATCGGAAGTGGACTCTCACGAGCCGGGACTTCGGCCAATGTCGAAACGCCCAGATTTTTTTTTTAACGGCCACTACCGACTCGTCCTCACGACGGCAAAACGTTCTCGACGTGAGGGTCTCCTCCTCCCCCCCCACAACCCGCTTTAAACCCAGGTGCCACTGTCGCTAGGTGTTAACTACCTCGCCCGGTATGCAGGAGGTCGTGGGTTCAACCCCGATCCTGACGCCTGCTGCTGTATATTTGGAGTCTGCGTGTCTCTCCTCTCTCTCTCTCTTTCATCCCACGGTCGGGTGGATTTTTTTCCCTCCGGGACCTCCAGTTTTTCCCCACCACATTTAGAATCTGAACATCACACGTTGACGAGGTACTTTTCTCTGGATCTCTGTGGGTCTCCATGGGTCTCTATGAGTATGGGTCCCCGTGGGTCTATAGAAACGTGCGTTTAGAGTATTTGGCTGCTGTAAGTTTACGTGGGTCTCTGTGGTTCTATGGGTCTCTATGCGTCTCTATGAATATGGGCCTCTATGCGTCTCTATGAATATGGGTCTCTATGGGTATCCATGAGTCTGTAGAAACGTGCGTTTAGAGAGTGTTTGGCCGGGGCTTAAAAAGCAGCCACTTCGTTGGGTTGCTATAATTTGTGATGGCTGGGTCACTTCTCAAAAATGAGGTCTGCTCGTTGTTGTGAGCGTCGCTCCTCCGCCCTCCGTTGTTGTTGGAGGGCGACTGCCTCCAACTGCCCAGTGGCGTCCTTCACGAGCCTCCTCCACAGAGGCCGATCTTGACACCGCTGGTACCAGTCATCAGAAAGTCCACTCAGCTCTACGTCCTGTTGTATCGCACCACTCCATCTCTTCTCTAGCAAGTTTAGCCTCCTCTATCCGGCCGAACAAAAGCTGTATCGTCATGCGGTGGCTGGGCAGGAGGGGCTACATGACCCAGCCAACGCAGCCTTGCCTGCTGGAGCTCAATGATGGGACTTTGTCCAGATCTTTCAAGGATTTGTGAGCTACTCACACAATCCAGCCCGGTTAAACCCAGGATGGATCGTACGCAGGCAAGCCTAAATGTTTCAAACCGGTGAAGATGTTCCATTAGGGGGGGTCCACGTTTCGCAAGCATAGAGAAGGGAGGGAATGACCGTGGCCAAGAAGACCTGAAGCTTCGTGCGGAGCGACAGACCAGGTAGCTTCCACACAGCGTTATGCAACCGATGACAAGATAATGCCGCTCGACTGATTCGGAGTGAGACCTCTGCTGTCCAACTGGAGCCACTCATAAGCATACTGTCCAGGTATGGTAAACTCTCCACTCTCTCCACAACTGCCCCATCACCAATTGGGAGTTCTGGGGGTGGAGTGTCCTATGGTGCAAAATACCCTGGTAGGTGCTTAGTTTTGGTGCGGCTGATGGTAAGGCCCCACCTCTTCGTGGCACGATCCAGGTTCAGCAGCAGCGCCTCCAACTCCTCCTCTGAGTGAGCGGCAATTACCAGATCGGCATAGATAAAGTGGTTGACCAATAGAGAGCCATCCCGTGACCGCACCCGGGCATCGATCAGCCTCCCATTGTATCTGCACCAGATGGAAATTCCTCCAGTACAGCAATCGAAGGCTTCACGAACTACGTGGTCAAAATAGATGTTAAATAATGTGGGAGCCAGAGGACATCCCTGTCGCACCCCAAGGTGAACAGGGAATGGCTCCGACTCCCGGCCACGTAGTTTTACCCGGGCCCACTCACCATCATGAAGTTCCTTAAAGATCGTGAGCAGAGTCAGGTACTAAGAAAGCACGAAGAACCCAGAGCCTAGGCCTACTGATGGTATCACAGGCCTTGGCCAGGTCAATAAAGCAGAGATGTAGGTCGTGTTGGAATTCCCTACACCTCTGCTGTAGCAGACGGACAGAAAATATGGCATCTGTGTAGGACCACCCTTTCCTGAACCGCATGGGGGCACCGCAAGCCTCTCCTCAGCGTGCCTGGCAAGGCGATGCTGAATAATCCTTGCCAGAACCTTTCCCGGCACACTGAGGAGTGAGATGCCCCTGTAGTTGTTACAGTCAGTGCGGTCCCCCTTCTTAAAGAGGGGGACCACCAGGGCATCCTTAAAAATCCTGCAGAACCCGTCCAGTGATCCATGTAGGGCAGTCTGTGCACAGATGCCACCCTCCCTCAGCATTTCGCTTGGGAACATCTCTGCCCAGTGCCTTTCCTGGTCTCAGACTCTGGATCGCCTTCAGTACTTCCTCAACAGATGGCACCTCAGCCAGCCACTCACAGGGGGTGACTTCTTCCAATATTTGAGACACCGCAGCCTCAGCAGGGTTATCCCCACTTTGTACCACGATGTTTTCCAGGCTGAGAGATTTCCCCTCCCCCAGGACCTCACAGAAATGCCCAGCAAATCTGTAAACCTGTTCCTGGGGCTCAGAGATTGGATCACCGTTCTTTCCCCTAATGATGGTAATAGGTATGGAGCTCCCGACAGAGGAGTGGCACCCTCTCCTCCGCATTGAGCATTCGGACATTACAAGAGGCCACTCGCAGTGGCTCTGGATGGGTGCGAGGGGCTGGCAACCCCTCCACCTTCGACCTAAGTACCACTAAACTACGTGGAAGAAAATATAACTAAGCTTTTCTTACCATCACCACCCCAACAACCCACACACCCCCTGTCGTGTCGCAGTCAGTACTCTGTACCAGGGGCGTCCTATTAAAATGAAACGTTTTTTTAAGGTCAAAAACATTACCCCCATCCCTGCAATGCATGCGTGCTTGCAGGAGTGAGTGTGTGTACGTGTGGAAGTGCGTGTGTGGAACAGTAGGGGGCACAACTGGTGCATTGGCCAGTCATCTGTCAGTCAGTTGACCCATTGGCACCTGCTGGGTCTGTCCCGTGACCTCCTGCCAGTGGGCGTTCGACACTCCACGTGGCCTTAAAGTGCACCTAGCCCGGCACAAGCACCATGGTGACGTCACCGCCACTTAGTGGTGAATGGCGGCGTTTGCTGCTGTTGTGGGAGTGCGTGCATGTGTGGGAGTGTGTGCGTGAGTCGGAGTGTGTGCGTGTGTGAATGAGTGAGTGCGTGGGGGTGCGTATACGGTAGCGCATGCGTGTGCCGAGTGTGTATGTGTGCGTGAGTGTGAGTGCTTGTGTGGTAGTGCGTGCGAGCGCGAGGACTTGCGTGAGAGAGTGAGTGCATGGGAGTGCGTGCATGCGTAAGTGTGAGTGCGAGTGCGTGAGTTTGAGTGAAAGTGCGTGCGAGCGAGAGTGTGCGTGGGAGTGCGTGGGAGTGCGTGTGAGTGCGTGCGTAGGAGTGCGTGGGAGTGCGTGTGTGTGTGCGTGGGAGTGAGTGCATGTGAGTGCGTGGGAGTGCGTGCATGTGAGTGCGTGTGAGTGCGTGTGTGTGTGCGTGGGAGTGCGTGTGTGTGTGCGTGGGAGTGCGTGTGTGTGTGCGTGGGAGTGCGTGGGAGTGCGTGTGAGTGCGTGCGTAGGAGTGCGTGGGAGTGCGTGTGTGTGCGTGGGAGTGCGTGTGTGTGTGCGTGGGAGTGCGTGCGTGTGTGCGTGCGAGTGCGTGCGTGTGTACGAGTGTGTGTACGAGTGTGTACGAGTGTGTACGAGAGTGTGTACGTGAGTGTGTACGAGTGTGTACGAGTGTGTGTACGAGTGTGTGTACGAGTGTGTGTACGAGTGTGTACGAGTGTGTGTACGAGTGCGTGTACGAGTGCGTACGAGTGTGTGTACGAGTGCGTACGAGTGTGTGTACGAGTGCGTACGAGTGTGTACGAGTGTGTACGAGTGTGTGTACGAGTGTGTACGAGTGTGTACGAGTGTGTGTACGAGTGTGTGTACGAGTGTGTGTACGTGTGTGTACGAGTGTGTGTACGAGTGTGTACGAGTGTGTACGAGTGTGTACGAGTGTGTGTACGAGTGTGTGTACGAGTGTGTACGAGTGTGTGTACGAGTGTGTACGAGTGTGTACGAGTGTGTGTACGAGTGTGTGTACGAGTGTGTGTACGAGTGTGTACGAGTGTGTGTACGAGTGTGTGTACGAGTGTGTGTACGAGTGTGTGTACGAGTGTGTGTACGAGTGTGTGTACGAGTGTGTACGAGTGTGTGTACGAGTGTGTGTACGAGCGCGTACGAGTGTGTACGAGTGTGTGTACGAGTGTGTGTACGAGTGTGTGTACGAGTGTGTGTACGAGCGTGTGTACGAGTGTGTGTACGAGTGTGTGTACGTGCGTGTGTACGAGCGTGTGTACGAGCGTGTGTACGAGTGTGTGTACGAGTGTGTGTACGAGCGTGTGTACGAGCGTGTGTACGAGCGTGTGTACGAGTGTGTGTACGAGTGTGTGTACGAGTGTGTGTACGAGTGTGTGTACGAGCGTGTGTACGAGCGTGTGTACGAGTGTGTGTACGAGTGTGTGTACGAGTGTGTGTACGAGTGTGTGTACGAGCGTGTGTACGAGTGTGTGTACGAGTGTGTGTACGAGCGTGTGTACGAGTGTGTGTACGAGCGTGTGTACGAGTGTGTGTACGAGTGTGTGTACGAGCGTGTGTACGAGTGTGTGTACGAGTGTGTGTACGAGCGTGTGTACGAGCGTGTGTACGAGCGTGTGTACGAGCGTGTGTACGAGCGTGTGTACGAGCGTGTGTACGAGTGTGTGTACGAGTGTGTGTACGAGTGTGTGTACGAGCGTGTGTACGAGCGTGTGTACGAGCGTGTGTACGAGCGTGTGTACGAGCGTGTGTACGAGCGTGTGTACGAGTGTGTGTACGAGTGTGTGTACGAGCGTGTGTACGAGCGTGTGTACGAGTGTGTGTACGAGTGTGTGTACGAGCGCGTACGAGTCACCTGTTCGACCCTTCGCCAGCGGCGGCGTACCGCCACCGCACCAACACAACCCAAAGGCGCTACCCCTCCCCACCATCCCCCAACCCCCCCCACTGCGTATTGAAGTGGGCGCTTCGAGGTCCTCTCTCCTCTCTCCCCTCTCTCTCTTGCCCTCTCGGCCGCTCTCCCCTCTCGTCTCTCCCCTCGTCCGCCACCCCACCCGGCGCCACCCACGACACCGCCCCGCCCCCCCGCCGCCACCCCCGCGGGTAGGGGCAGACAGCGACGGGTGCGGCGACGTCCACGCGCAGGGGGACAGGCCGGCGACGATGACGAGGACGAGGAGGAGGATGAGGACGACTCTCCCGTGAAGAGGCAGGCGGCGGCTCCTTCCCCACCACCACCCACCACCACCCACCGCCAACCACCACCACCCCCACCCACCCACCCTCCTCCAGCGGCGTGTTGACGTCGTGCGAGCTAGCAAAGCAGAAACTAACAGACTCTGCCCTTGGGCCTTTTGGCGTGGGGTGGGGGTGGGGGTGGGGTGGGGGGAGGAGGAGGAGGGTGACCCTACCTGGTGCCTCCTCAACCTCTCGACGTTTGCGCGTCACCACGGATGCCGCAGCGGCGGAGCGTCCAAGCCGGGCCGCTCGCGCTTAACGCTCGCCGGCGGGGGAGATGAGGGGGATGGCCATGGCCATTATTGTTATTGTTGCCACTGCGGCGGCGGCGGTGGTGACGCAAACGTCAATTTTTTTAGTTATTCGTGGAGGGGAAAAATGGATTTGGGTTACGACGTTTCATTTCGGTTGCGGTTTGTATTTGTTATTTTTTTGTTCGAAGGTGGTGAGGGGGCGGCGGGTCAAGTTTGGGTTTCTTGTTTATTTTAATATTCGTCTTGACGCCGTTACGTCTTTGACTTAATTTTGGCGATGACGATAACAACGACCGCAACTTCGGCGACGAGACTCAAAGCCGAATCGTCCGATTCGACCTCGAATCGGACGACGGTTGCCTTGAAAAATACGGTTCATTATTAACTTTTTTTTTTAAGTTGCCCTAAACGTACGAATACTTTAATGCATGGAAGGTTTTTGTTTGTTTGTTTTGCTCACGATGATTAGAAGCCAAAACTAATTGGGAACCAATATTGATCTCGTTCGTATTATACAAATATATATTTAAAGATATATATATACACGTACAGCTACAGGCCCTCGATTTACGAACCAGTCAGGTTTGCCGTGTGGGTAGTTTGGTTTGGCTTGGCTTTACCCAGGGAGGATTATCGGTAGTGCAGGTTTGGTGGGTAGGTAGGTGGGTAAGGTGGGTAAGGTAGGCATAGGTAGGTAAGAGGAGGCGTAACTGTACCTTTCGGTGGGTATAACCACTTTTACTACGGCTTGGGACAGAGTCTGTTCAATCATTCACATCGAATAATAGAAAACATGAGGCGGATGAGAGCAAGGAACAATTCCAAATAACGCAAAAAAACACAGCACAGCGCCACACACGTCACAGACAGCTACACACGTCACAGACAGCCACACACGTCACACGTGGATACACAGACAGCTACACGTCACACGGAACTACACACACGGCTACACGTACAATAACGTCGTCACACAGTTATACACACAGTAACATCACACACAGCTACACAGTAACATCACACACAGCTGCACACACGTCATAGAACTACACACACGGCTACACGTACAATAACGTCGTCACACAGTTATACACACAGTAACATCACACACAGCTACACAGTAACATCACACACAGCTGCACACACGTCATATAAAGCTACACACAGCTATACGCGTCACACACAGCTATACGCGTCACACAGAACTACACACACGGCTACACATACAATAACATCGTCACACAGACACACAGTAACATCACACACAGCTACACACGTCACACAGAACTACACACGCAATGTCGTCACACACAGGTACACACACAGCAACAACACACACAGCTGCACACGTCACACAGAACTACACACGCAATAATGTCGTCACACACAGTAACAACACACAGGTACACACAAACAGCTACACACAGCTACACACGTCACACACAGCTACACACACATTAATGTTACACACAGTAACATCACAAACAGCTGCACACAGTAACGTCACACACAGCATCACACACAGCTACACACACAGTAACGTCACACACAGCAACACACACCTACCCATAGAAAACCTATAACTGTACACAGCAATATAAACATCTACCCACAGCAACACAATTACACACAACACACAAATCAACCCAAAGCACACAATTACACAGCACACACATACACCAACCCACAGCAACACACACACCAACCCACACCAACACACACACACCTATCCACAGCAACACACACACCAACCCATAGCAACGCACACAAAGACACACGTTCTCATAGCAAAACAAAACAGTACATGGAAATACACACACAACTACACACAGCAACACACACCTACCTACAGCAATACACACACAAACTGTACTTACCCAGAGCAACACACAACTAAACACAGCATCATACACACATACTGTACCTATCCACAGCCACACACAACGACACACATAGCCACACACACTACAATCAACACACACACAGCCACACACACAGCCACACACACAGCCACACACACAGCCACAAACACACACAGCAACACACACTACAATAAACACACAGCGACACTACAACGCGAGTGGCAGGTACTTCCACCCGATGTCCCGCCCGTACCTTCTCCAGCTCCACACAGCCACACACACACACAGCCACACACACACACAGCGACACACACACACAGCGACACACACACACAGCGACACGCACACACACAGCGACACACACAGCCACACACACACACAGCGACACACACACACACTACAATCAACACAAAGCGACGCTACTACAACGCGAGTGGCGGGTACTTCCACCCGATGTCCCGCCCGTACCTTCTACAGCTACACACAGCCACACACACACACAGCGACACACACACACAGCAACACGCACACACACAGCCACACACACACACACACAGCCACACACACACACAGCTACACACACACAGCCACACACACACACACAGCCACACACACACATACACAGCCACACACACACACAGCCACACACACAGCCACACACACACACAGCCACACACACAAAGCCACACACACTACAATCAACACACAGCGACGCTACAACAACGCGAGTGGCGGGTGCTTCCACCCGACGCCGCGCCGCCCGTACCTTCTCCAGCTCCACACAGCCACACACACACACACAGCCACACACACACACAGCCACACACACACAGACACACACATCCACACACACACACAGCTACACACACACACAGCCACACACACAGCCACACACACACACAGCGACACACACACACACAGCCACACACACACACAGCTACACACACACATACTACAATCAACACACAGCGACGCTACAACAACGCGAGTGGCGGGTGCTTCCACCCGACGCCGCGCCGCCCGTACCTTCTCCAGCTCCACACAGCCACACACACACACAGCGACACACACAGACACACACACACAGCCACACACACACACACAGCGACACACACAGACACACACACACAGCCACACACACACAGCCACACACACACAGCCACACACACACAGCCACACACACACACACACAGCCACACACACAGCCACACACACAGCCACACACACACACAGCCACACACACAGCCACACACACACACACTACAATCAAGACACAGCCACACACACACACGCACTGCAATCAACACACAGCGACGCTACAACAACGCGAGTGGCGGGTACTTCCACCCGACGCCGCGCCGCCCGTACCTTCTCCAGCTCCACACAGCCACACACACACACAGCCACACACACACACACAGCCACACACACACACACAGCCACACACACACACAGCGACACACACACAGCCACACACACAGCCACACACACAGCCACACACACACACAGCCATACACACACAGCCACACACATACACACAGCCACACACACACACACAGCCACACACACACAGCCACACACACACACAGCCACACACATACACACAGCCACACACACACACAGCCACACACACACACACAGCCACACACACACACACAGCCACACACACACAAAGCCACATACACACACAGCCACACACACACAGCCACACACACACAGCCACACACACACACACAGCCACACACACAGCCACACACACACACACAGCGACACACACACAGCGACACGCACACACACAGCCACACACACACACAGCCACACACACAGCCACACACACACACACAGCCACACACACAGCCACACACACACACAGCTACACACACACACAGCCACACACACACACAGCGACACACACAGCCACACACACACAGCCACAGCCACACACACACAGCCACACACACACACAGCCACACACAGCCACACACACAGCTACACACACACACACTACAATCAACACACAGCGACGCTACAACAACGCGAGTGGCGGGTGCTTCCACCCGACGCCGCGCCGCCCGTACCTTCTCCAGCTCCACACAGCCACACACACACACAGCCACACACACACACACAGACACACACACACACACAGGCACACACACACACAGCTACACACACACACAGGCACACACACAGCCACACACACTACAATCAACACACAGCGACGCTACAACAACGCGAGTGGCGGGTGCTTCCACCCGACGCCGCGCCGCCCGTACCTTCTCCAGCTCCACACAGCCACACACACACACAGCCACACACACACACAGCCACACACACAGCCACACACACACAGCCACACACACAGCCACACACACACACAGCCACACACACACAGCCACACACACAGCCACACACACACACAGCTACACACACACGCACTACAATCAACACACAGCGACGCTACAACAACGCGAGTGGCGGGTGCTTCCACCCGACGCCGCGCCGCCCGTACCTTCTCCAGCTCCACACAGCCACACACACACACAGCCACACACACACACACAGCCACACACACACACAGCCACATACACACACAGCCACACACACACAGCCACACACACACAGCCACACACACACACACAGCCACACACACAGCCACACACACACACACAGCGACACACACACAGCGACACGCACACACACAGCCACACACACAGCCACACACACAGCCACACACACACACACAGCCACACACACAGCCACACACACACACAGCTACACACACACACAGCCACACACACACACAGCGACACACACACACAGCCACACACACACAGCCACAGCCACACACACACAGCCACACACACACACAGCCACACACAGCCACACACACAGCTACACACACATACACACTACAATCAACACACAGCGACGCTACAACAACGCGAGTGGCGGGTGCTTCCACCCGACGCCGCGCCGCCCGTACCTTCTCCAGCTCCACACAGCCACACACACACACAGCCACACACACACACACAGCCACACACACACAGCTACACCCACACTACAATCAACACACAGCGACGCTACAACAACGCGAGTGGCGGGTGCTTCCACCCGACGCCGCGCCGCCCGTACCTTCTCCAGCTCCACACAGCCACACACACACACACAGCCACATACACAGCCACACACACACACGCACTACAATCAACACACAGCGACGCTACAACAACGCGAGTGGCGGGTGCTTCCACCCGACGCCGCGCCGCCCGTACCTTCTCCAGCTCCTCGTTGTTGGCGGGCGGCGGCGGCAGCGGCGCGTGGGGGTTGCGGAGCCTCTCCCGCGGCTGCGCGTTGAAGGGCAGCCCCGAGGGCGGTGGCGGCATGGTGAGCTCCAGCATGGCCGGCGGGATGTAGAGTGGGTATGGCGGCAGGGGGATCGCCTTGCCCCAGCCCAGCCTCATCTCGTAGCCCATGATCTCCTTGCCTGGGCGAGGGAGGGAGAGGGCAGGGGGGGGGGGGGAGGGAGAGGGTGGGGAGGGAGAGGGTGGGATGGAAGAAGGGAGAGGGAGGAGAGGGAGGAGAGGGAGGAGAGGGAGGGAGGAGAGGGAGGGATGGAAGAAGGGAGAGGGAGGAGAGGGAGGAGAGGGAGGAGGGGGAGGAGGGGGAGGAGAGTGAGGAGAGGGAGGGAGGGAGGGAAGAAGGGAGGGAGGAGAGGCAGGAAAGGGAGGGAGGAGAGGGAAGGGAGGAGAGGGAGGAGAGGGAGGTGGGAGGAGAGGGAGGGGGGGGAGAGGGAGGGAGGGAAGAAGGGAGGGAGGGAGGGAGGAGAGGGAGGGAGGAGAGGGAGGAGAGGGAGGCAGGAAAGGGAAGGAGAGGAAGGGAGGAGAGGGTGGGAGGAGAGGGAGAGATGGAAGAAGGCAGGAAAGGGAGGAGAGGGAGGAGAGGGAGGGGGGAGGAGAGGGAGTGGGGGAGGAGAGGGAGGTGGGAGGAGAGGGAGGGGGGGGAGAGGGAGGGAGGGAAGAAGGGAGGGAGGGGGGGAGGAGAGGGAGGGAGGAGAGGGAGGAGAGGGAGGCAGGAAAGGGAAGGAGGAGAGGGAGGGAGGAGAGGGTGGGAGAGGGAGAGATGGAAGAAGGGAGGAAAGGGAGGAGAGGGAGGAGAGGGAGGGGGGAGGAGAGGGAGTGGGGGAGGAGAGGGAGGAGAGGGAGGGAGGGAAGAAGAGAGGGAGGAGAGGCAGGAAAGGGAGGGAGGAGAGGGAGGGATGGATGGGAGGAGAGGGAGGAGAGGAAGGTGGGAGGAGAGGGAGGGGGGGGGAGAGGGAGGGAGGGAAGAAGGGAGGGAGGGGGGGAGGGAGGGGGGGAGGGAGGAGAGGGAGGGAGAAGAGGGAGGGAGGAGAGGGAGGGAGGAGAGGGAGGAGAGGGAAGAAGGGAGGGAGAGGGGGATGGAGGGGGGGAGGGAGGGGAGGGAGGGATTATTGCTATGATTATTGCCGTTGTTATTGTTGTTTTTATCACTGCTGATATTGTGATTGGTATTGGCATTGTGATTGTTGTCATTGCTGTTAAAATTTTGTCATTCCTATACGTTATTATTGTTGTCATTAATATTGTTGTTATTGGTGTTGTTACTGTTGTTATTGTTAGTAATATTGTTATTGTTATTAATATTGTTATTATTGTTGTTATTGTTATTAATATTGTTATTGCTCGTATTGTTGTTATTGTTGTTCTTATTGTTGTTCTTGTTAACAGTGTTATTATTTTTCATTGTTTTTGTTCTTATTGATAGTTATTCTTGTTATTAATATTGTCATTCTTTATGTGATTAATATTGTTGTTATACTTATTATTGCTCATGTTGTTGTTATTACTATTGTTATTCTTTTCATCATCGTTGTTTGTTATTAATATTGTTTTTATCAGCAGTTGTTATTCTTGTTATTAATAATATTATTGTTGTAATGAATATTGTATTTATTGTTGTTATTAACAGTTGTTATTCTTGTTATTATTGTTATTAATATTGATGTTATTTGTGTTGTAATGAATATTGTATTTATTGTTATTAACAGTTGTTATTCTTGTTATTATTAATATTGATGTTATTATTGTTGTTATTAATATTGTTTTTGTTGTTATTAATAGTTATTCTTGGTATGATTCTTGTTATTGTTATTATTATTGGTGGTATTAAATTGGTATTAGTCTTGTTATACTGCTGTTATTGGTGACAATATTATTGCTATTAAGTTGTTATTCTTGTTATTATTGGTGGCATTAATATCGTCGTTGTCGTTGTTGTCACTGCTGTTACTGTCGTGGTAGTAGTTCTTATCGTCGTCATTTACTGTTGAGCAGTTTGAGGGCACGCTCTGCATCTTTTCGGTTCATGTAGGCCACGAAGCCGCAGTGCCGGTCCCGGGCACGCTCCTCATCCTTGCGAGGCCACATGATCTTGACGCTGGCCAGCGGCCCGAACCGGCCAAACTCCTGGCACAGCATCTCCTCGTTCATCTGCATGCGGGAGGGCGGACGTGGGGGGGGAGAAAAAAATCTCGCCATCATCGTCACCTCGCAAACTCCGGCGACGGCCTCCTGTATACCCCCCACCCCGGGCGAGGTAGCCGACGTCTCGCTACGGGGAGGGAGAGAGAGACACCACAAACTCCAAATATACAGCAGAAGGCATCGTCACGCTCGGGATGGAACCCACGAACCTCCCCGTATACCAGGTGAGGTAGTCAACATCTCGCTACGGGGAGGGAGAGAGAGAGAGAGACACCACAAACTCCAAATATACAGCAGCAGGCATCGTCACGCTCAGGATGGAACCCACGAACCTCCCCGTATACCAGGTGAGGTAGCCAACATCTCGCTACAGGGAGGGAGAGAGAGAAGGAGAGACACCGCAAACTCCAAATATACAGCAGCAGGCATCGTCACGCTCGGGATGGAACCCACAAACCTCCCCGTATACCAGGTGAGGTAGTCAACATCTCGCTATGGGGAGGGAGAGAGAGAGGGAGAGACACCGCGAACTCCAAATATACAGCAGCAGGCATCGTCACGGTTGGGATGGAACCCACGAACCTCCCCGTATACCAGGTGAGGTAGTCAACATCTCGCTATGGGGAGGGAGAGAGGGAGAGACACCGCACACTCCAAATATACAGCAGCAGGCATCGTCATGCTCGGGATGGAACCCACGAACCTCCCCGTATACCAGGTGAGGTAGTCAACATCTCGCGACGGGGAGGGAGAGAGAGAGAGGGGGAGACACCACAAACTCCAAATATACAGCAGCAGGCATCGTCACGCTCGGGATGGAACCCACGAACCTCCCCGTATACCAGGTGAGGTAGTCAACATCTCGCTACGGGGAGGGAGAGAGAGAGGGAGAGACACCACCAACTCCAAATATACAGCAGCAGGCATTGTCACGCTCGGGATTGATGGACGGATGAACACATGGATGAATGAATTGGTTAACAAATGACTGTACGGCTTAACGGATGAATGAATGGATGAACGACTCGATGAACGAATGGATGAATGAGGGTTCCCCTGCCCCCCTCCCCGCCCACCTTGGGGTTGATGTTGCCGAGGTAAAGGTTGGTGGTGCTGGGATCCCCCGTGTCGTACGACCCGCTGGTGTACTCATCTAGCACTGCTGAATACGGGAACACGGACATGCGCACGCGTGTACACACACAAACGTCTAGCGACAAACGCGTGAACACACACACAAAGATGAAGATCCCCTGTAGTAATAGGTTTTACCCTTTTAACTGGCACAAAAACTGACACCTTTATTCAAGGCATCATGTTTGCAATAACCACAACACAAGCAGTCAAAATGCAAACAAAAGAGACAACTCTGATAATAATATGCACTGTCCTTGAATTTGATTGGTCCACACCCGAGACGGCTTTTCTTAGAGCCCTTAGTCTCCACTGGTGTTGGACCAGAAGACGCCAAAAGGCGTACAACTCAAAAACAGCGCACTATCAGAGTATTGAGGGCTCGGGGTGAGCATTTACATTATGAGACCTCCTTTGCCAGTAACAAAATATAGTAATAGGTTTTACCCTTTTAACTGGCACAAAAACTGACACCTTTATTCAAGGCATCATGTTTGCAATAACCAAAACTGCTTGTGTTGTGGTTATTGCAAACATTGATGCCTTGAATAAAGGTATCAGTTTTTGTGCCAGTTAAAAGGGTAAAACCTATTACTATATTTTGTTACTGGCAAAGGTCTCATAACGATCCCCTGTGTCGTACGACCCGCTGGTGTACTCATCTAGCACTGTTGAGTATGGGAACACGCACGTGCACACGCGTGTACACACACACGCGCGCACGTACACACACACGCGTGCACGTACACACACACGCGTACACACAAACGCGCGTGCACACATACACAAAGATAAAGATTCTGCTACTACTACTAGCAATGCAGCTACTACTCCAACTGTTGCTACTACTGCTACTACTGCCACTGCTACTACTGCAGCTGCTACTACTGCAGCTGCTACTACTCCTACTGTTGCTATTACTACTGCAGCTGCTACTACTGCTGCTGCTACTACTGCAGCTGCTACTACTGCTGCTGCTACTACTGCTGCTGCTGCAACTGTTTCTACTACTGCTGCTATTATTACTAATGGCTACTAATACAGCTACTACTGCTGCTATTACCACTACTGGCTACTAATACAGCTACTACTGCTGCTATTACCACTACTGACTACCACAGCTACTACTGCAGCTACTACTGTTTCTACTACTGCTGCTATTATTACTGCCGCTACTGCTGCTATTACCACTACTGGTTACTACTACCACTACTGGAGACTACTACAGCTACTGCTGCAGCTGCTACTGTTTCTACTACTGCTGCTATTATCACTGCCGCTACTGCTGCTATTACCACTACTGGTTACTACTACCACTACTGGTGACTACTACAGCTACTGCTGCAGCTGCTACCGTTTCTACTACTGCTGCTATTATTACCACTGCTACTACTGGCTACAACTGCTGCTATTACCACTACTGGTGACTACTACAGCTACTGCTGCAGCTGCTACTGTTTCTACTACTGCTGCTATTATTACCACTGCTACTACTGGCTACAACTGCTATTACCACTACTGGTGACTACTACAGCTACTGCTGCAGCTGCTACCGTTTCTACTACTGCTGCTATTATTACCACTGCTACTACTGGCTACAACTGCTGCTATTACCACTACTGGTGACTACTACAGCTACTGCTGCAGCTGCTACCGTTTCTACTACTGCTGCTATTATTACCACTGCTACTACTGGCTACAACTGCTATTACCACTACTGGTGACTACTACAGCTACTGCTGCAGCTGCTACCGTTTCTACTACTGCTGCTATTATTACCACTGCTACTACTGGCTACAACTGCTGCTATTACCACTACTGGTGACTACTACAGCTACTGCTGCAGCTGCTACCGTTTCTACTACTGCTGCTATTATTACCACTGCTACTACTGGCTACAACTGCTGCTATTACCACTACTGGTGACTACTACAGCTACTGCTGCAGCTGCTACCGTTTCTACTACTGCTGCTATTATTACCACTGCTACTACTGGCTACAACTGCTGCTATTACCACTACTGGTGACTACTACCGCTACTGCTGCAGCTGCTACCGTTTCTACCACTGCTACTACTGGCTACAACTGCTGCTATTACCACTACTGGTGACTACTACAGCTACTGCTGCAGCTGCTACCGTTTCTCCTACTGCTGCTGCTATTATTACCACTGCTACTACTGGCTACAACTGCTGCTATTACCACTACTGGTGACTACTACAGCTACTGCTGCAGCTGCTACCGTTTCTCCTACTGCTGCTGCTATTATTACCACTGCTACTACTGGCTACAACTGCTGCTATTACCACTACTGGTGACTACTACAGCTACTGCTGCAGCTGCTACCGTTTCTACTACTGCTGCTATTATTACCACTGCTACTACTGGCTACAACTGCTGCTATTACCACTACTGGTGACTACTACCGCTACTGCTGCAGCTGCTACCGTTTCTACTACTGCTGCTGCTATTATTACCACTGCTACTACTGGCTACAACTGCTGCTATTACCACTACTGGTGACTACTACAGCTACTGCTGCAGCTGCTACCGTTTCTACTACTGCTGCTGCTATTATTACCACTGCTACTACTGGCTACAAACTGCTGCTATTACCACTACTGGTGACTACTACAGCTACTGCTGCAGCTGCTACCGTTTCTACTACTGCTGCTATTATTACCACTGCTACTACTGGCTACAACTGCTGCTATTACCACTACTGGTGACTACTACAGCTACTGCTGCAGCTGCTACCGTTTCTACTACTGCTGCTATTATTACCACTGCTACTACTGGCTACAACTGCTGCTATTACCACTACTGGTGACTACTACAGCTACTGCTGCAGCTGCTACCGTTTCTCCTACTGCTGCTGCTATTATTACCACTGCTACTACTGGCTACAACTGCTGCTATTACCACTACTGGCGACTACTACAGCTACTGCTGCAGCTGCTACCGTTTCTACTACTGCTGCTGCTATTATTACCACTGCTACTACTGGCTACAACTGCTGCTATTACCACTACTGGTGACTACTACAGCTACTGCTGCAGCTGCTACCGTTTCTACTACTGCTGCTGCTATTATTACCACTGCTACCACTGGCTACAACTGCTGCTATTACCACTACTGGTGACTACTACAGCTACTGCTGCAGCTGCTACCGTTTCTACTACTGCTGCTATTATTACCACTGCTACTACTGGCTACAACTGCTGCTATTACCACTACTGGTGACTACTACAGCTACTGCTGCAGCTGCTACTGTTTCTACTACTGCTGCTGCTATTATTACCACTGCTACTACTGGCTACAACTGCTGCTATTACCACTACTGGTGACTACTACAGCTACTGCTGCAGCTGCTACCGTTTCTACCACTGCTACTACTGGCTACAACTGCTGCTATTACCACTACTGGTGACTACTACAGCTACTGCTGCAGCTGCTACCGTTTCTACTACTGCTGCTGCTATTATTACCACTGCTACTACTGGCTACAACTGCTGCTATTACCACTACTGGTGACTACTACAGCTACTGCTGCAGCTGCTACCGTTTCTACTACTGCTGCTATTATTACCACTGCTACTACTGGCTACAACTGCTGCTATTACCACTACTGGTGACTACTACCGCTACTGCTGCAGCTGCTACCGTTTCTACCACTGCTACTACTGGCTACAACTGCTGCTATTACCACTACTGGTGACTACTACAGCTACTGCTGCAGCTGCTACCGTTTCTCCTACTGCTATTATTACCACTGCTACTACTGGCTACAACTGCTGCTATTACCACTACTGGTGACTACTACAGCTACTGCTGCAGCTGCTACTGTTTCTACTACTGCTGCTATTATTACCACTGCTACTACTGGCTACAACTGCTGCTATTACCACTACTGGTGACTACTACCGCTACTGCTGCAGCTGCTACCGTTTCTACTACTGCTGCTGCTATTATTACCACTGCTACTACTGGCTACAACTGCTGCTATTACCACTACTGGCGACTACTACAGCTACTGCTGCAGCTGCTACCGTTTCTCCTACTGCTGCTATTATTACCACTGCTACTACTGGCTACAACTGCTGCTATTACCACTACTGGTGACTACTACAGCTACTGCTGCAGCTGCTACCGTTTCTACTACTGCTGCTATTATTACCACTGCTACTACTGGCTACAACTGCTGCTATTACCACTACTGGTGACTACTACAGCTACTGCTGCAGCTATTGCTGCCCATCGCCTTACAGGAGCGCTTGGCGAGCTGTTGCTCGAGCTCGGAGGAGAGCGGCTCGAAGCGGCTGGGCCGGTAGGAGCCGTCCTGCATCACCTTCTTCAGCTTGTGGCGGCCCTCCCGTTCCTCCTGTATCCTGCACACACGCACGCGCGCACGTACACACGCGCACGTACACACGCACGACAAACATTCATACATGTCCATCCATCAATCCATTCATTCATCCATTCGTTCATAAATTCATTCATCAATTAATCCATGCATCCATTAATCCACGCATTTATTAATCCATTCATCCATCAATTCAATTATCCATCCATTGATTCATTAATCAATTCATCCATGCATCAATTAATCTGTTCGTACATTCATCCATTAATTAATCCATCCATCCATCCATCAATTCATCCATCCATTCTTTCTGACCTCCTCCTGCACCTAGCCCGGCACAGCAGTCAACCCATAGCTACCACCTGGGTCCGTCGTCATTTTGCTTTTGTGCAGAACTCACATCTTGAGCTCCTCTTTAAAGAGCTCCAGGTTACTTTTCTTTTTCTCCTTCTCTCCTTTCTTGACAAGCTGTGCGAGGGGAGGAAGGGAGTTGAAGGAGGGAGGAAGGGAGATTGCAAGGCGTTAATGAGCCTTAAACTAAACAATTTGTTAACATTTTTACCAGGCAAGTCCACACAGCTGAGCTACGTAGCTCGCTTATCAGCAGCGACCTCACCACAAACGATGACTCGATCATCGCGTGACGACGATAACCGAACGCAGAGAGGGTGTAGTGGGGGGAGGGGGGGGGGAAACCCCAAATACACAACAACAACAACAGCCGGCGTCAGGGTCCGAGATCGAACCCACGCCTCGCGCGGACACACCGGGGGGGGGGGGGGGCGAGGTAGGGAACACCTCCAGGCCCCCACACGGTGCATCAGCCACGCGCAACATCACGCCCCCGTTGGTAAACCGTGCGGGGCAAATGTTTGCCCTGATAATGCGCGCGCGCCCTGGCCCACGCCAGAGGCGGCCCTCCCTCAACGGGGCACCTGTCTCAGCGGCGTTAGGGCCAAGAGAACGCGCCAACAAAAGGGGGGCGGAGCAGTAACAAGGACAATGCAAACACGAAGGCATTAACGAGCGCGGGTCAAGCGGTTACATCTTGGCAGCAGGTGTCCATTCGGTTGGTGTGAATGAAACAAAAAAAAATAAGAGCAGGTGATTAACCGTACCCTTTGGTTCTGTTCGGTAAAGTCACGTAGGTAAAAAAAAAAAAACAAACAAAAATCACGACGTTTCGGCCCACAACACGAGCGGCCTTCAGCAGGTGAAGGAACCAGGCTGTCTAGAGGACAGCGCTGGAGTGAAACACAGCCAAGCTCAGACCGCGACCTTTAAGCTGTGTGAGGGGAAACAGAGCGCCTTGACAAAGGAATTAGCATAAAAAATTAGCATTTAATTGGCGGACTTAGCATGATGAGGGGAGGGGGGAGTTTACATATTGATGGTGTGAAAAGGGAATTTAAGCAGCTGCGAAAATTTGGGATACCACTACTTGAAAAAATATACTGTACCATTAAAAATTAGTTTAATGTTTGGTTTGATTACCTACGTGACTTTGCCGAATAGAACCAAAGAGTATGGATCCTTGCAGTCACGAAAGCTTGAAATCTAGAGGCGATTAACCTCCTTCCTCTGACAATAAAACAGGAGGCGTTAAGATGTTCCAACACCAAATACAGGATAATTATTTTTTTTTTTAAAGATTGACCCAATTTCAAAGCAGTTCATTTCACGATGGCAACATTTTACGATTACACAAAAAGTTACAAACGGTTTAATGAGTTATCAAGCTTTACTAACCATTTTCTAAACGCTCTATGTGCCCTCCGCCTGCTGTACGGACAACGTCGAGACGATAGTTGAGTTCGTCCCAAACCCCTCTCTTCTCTTCTCACGTATTCCTCTGAGGTGCGTGGTCGCCCTGTGCTCTCCCCCTTGCATCAACAGCAGCCCGTTTCCTCAAATTGTCGGTACCAACGACGAAATGCCCTTTGACAGTGGCGGACCAATGCCAAAACGCCGTTGAAACGCACGCCTCGCCGCAATTACGGATTCAGTCTTGCTGAAACGCCCCTTGTGTTGCAGCGGGGTCACCGTCTCGCGAACGACTGAGGCTAGGGGCTGTTTGTGCGCTGGGGTCACCATCTAGAGAGTGACTGAGGCTAGGGGCTGTTTGTGCGCTGGGAGAGGCATCTAGCGGTAATCATTTGAAACTCTATGCCCCGCCCTCTCTATGCCCGCCCTCTACATGCCCCGCCCTCTACATGCCCCGCCCTCTACATGCCCCGCCCTCTACATGCCCCGCCCTCTACATGCCCCGCCCTCTACATGCCCCGCCCTCTACATGCCCCGCCCTCTACATGCCCCGCCCTCTACATGCCCCGCCCTCTACATGCCCCGCCCTTTCAAGTGGCAAGAGTTTAATTCATGGGCGGTTCGTGGTTGCAGAGATATAGCGATTTCAAATCGGGTCCATCTTTTTGAAACACGTTGTAGATAGCTTTTGCATTGTCTTTGAAATGTATGCATTGTCTTTCAACGACAACGCCATGCATTATCAGAGCCACGTGTGTTTGCATGTTCACCACAAGAACTGGGTGGTTAATGCAGATATAATTCCTTCAAACATTTTGATTTAAAGCTTTCGTGACTGCAGTAATTCCTTCAAACATGCTCTGATAATGTATGCATTGTCTTTGAAACACAATGCACAACATTTCAAAGACTATGTATATCTTATAACCAAACGAGGACAAAGATCCCCCCCAAGTGGCATTAGCGAGTGGCAGCACTGCATACGAAAAGTCGGCATGGCACACGAAGGGGGTGGGTGGGTGGGCCAGCACCACGCCCGGCCGCCTTTGTCTCCCCAGTGGCGATGTTCACTCAGCGCTACCGCACCGGGTACTAGTCCGAGTCGGCCGAGTCGACCTAGGGGAGGCCCAGGACGGGTTCAAATATTCGCCACTGGTATTGGTGGTGTGTGGGAATCACAATACACACGTAGACAAAGATCCCCCGTATAGCCTTAACAGACTGTGGGGGCAAGTGCTGTTAGCAAGCACCTATGAAGGCCAGAACGGCACACGAGGGGGTGGGTGGCCAGCAAACACGCCCGGTCGCCTTTGTAAGACACACACACACGCAAAGACGTACGTGCACATAGTGTAAAACGTACACACACAGCAAACGTACAAAAATAAAGATCTCCCGTATAGCCTTAACAAACTGTAACAGCAACTGTTAGCGAGCACCTGTGAAGACCGGAACGGTACACAAGGGGGTGGATGGCCAGCACCACGCCTGACCGCCTTTGTCTCCCCAGTTGCGATGTTTACTACACACCGCACCAGGTGCTCATTTGAGGCTGAGTCTACCTAGGGGAGGCCCAGGACCGGTTCATATAATCGTCACTGGTGTTGGCCGTGAGCGGGAATCGAACCCGGCTCACCGGGTTCATAGCGTAGCGTAGCGCTAACCGCCACACGACCGCTACACGACCGCTACACGCACAGTACTACGTACACACACACACACACACAGTAAGACGTACGGGCTTGCGTGCGTCGAAGGCCGGAGGCGGCGCCGCTGGCGACTCGGCCTGGCTGGGTTTGGTGTCCATGAGCCGGGACGTGGGGCGGTAGAGTCGCCCTTTCTTGTGCTCCTCGCCCTCATCTGGACGGGACGAGACGACCAATTCGTTAGCCTCCACGGTGGCGAGGCGATGTCAACTCCCTCGCCCGGTGTGCAGGAGGTTACGTGGGTTCGATCCCGACCCCGACGATGCCTGAATTTGTCAAGATGTCAACTCCCTCGCCCGGTGTGCAGGAGGTTATGTGGGTTCTGTGGGTCTGAGTGGGTCTCCGTGGTTTTATATGAAGTCTTTGGAACTATGTGGGTCTATGGGTCTCTAGGGGTATTGGTTTGTTAGTACACGTGTGTTAGCTAGCCATGGTTTGCTAGAACGCGTTTGATAGCGCACGTTTGTCAGCGTGTGTGCGTGTGTGCGCGAGATCGTGAGCGACGCGCGAGGGCCTACCCTTGGCGTTGACGATGCCGCCCCGCACGAACGTCTTGATGCCGCCGGACGAGCTCCCCTCGAAGGAGGCGAGGAACTCCTCGTACACCTCGGCGGCCTTCACCTCCTCCTCCTGCACCCACGCAGACGTTACACACAAGGTCATAGGCAACAGTGCACACGCAATTATCCACAGCGCTACACACACAGACGCGCGCGCAATTCTACGCGTGACACACACACAGACTTATACACGTTACACACAAGTTCATACGCAACAGTGCGCACGCAATCATCCTCCTTCGAGGGGAGCTCGTCCGGCAGCAACTGCGCACGCCCGGCCGCCTTTGTCTCCCCCGGTGGCGATGATTACTACACGACACCGCTACAACGGGTACTCCTTTGAGGCTGAGTCGACCTAGGGGAGGCCCCAGAACGGGTTCAGATAATCGCCACCGGTGTTGGCCGTGAGCAGGAATCGAACTCGGGTAGCCGCGGTGACTAGGAAAATGAGCGAGTGGGTCAGTGAGCCATTGAGTGAGCGAGTGGATAAGGCAATGAGTGGGTGGGCGTCTAGGTCAAAGAGTGAGTGGGTGAGTAAGTCATTGAGTAAGTCAATGAGTGAGCGAGTGAGCGAGTGAGCGAGCAGACGAACGAGCGAGTGGTCGAACTGGTGAGAGAGTGAATGAGATAGAAAGTGGTCAAACAGGTGAGTGGTGGAATGGGTGAGTGGTGGAACGTGTGAGTGAGTCAGTAAGCGAGCAAGTGGGTGAGCGAGTGGTCGAACGGGTGAGTGGTCGAACGGGTGAGTGAGTGAGCGAGCGAACGGGTGAGTGAGCAAGTGGGCGAGCGAGCTGTCGAACGGGTGAGTGGTCGAAAGGGTGACTGAGTGGGCAAGCGAGCGGGTGAGTGAGCGAGTGGTCAAACAGGTGAGTGGTTGACCAGGTTGAGTGAGCGAGTGGTCAAACGGGTGAGTGGTCGAACGGGCGAGTGAGCAACCAAACGGGTAAGTGAGCGAGTGGTCAAACGGGTGAATGGCCGACCGGGTGAGTGAGCGAGTGAGCAAGCGAACGGGTGAGTGAGCGGGCGAACGGGTGAGTGAGCGAGTGGGTGAGAGAGCCATCGAACGGGTGAGTGGTCGAAAGGGTGACTGAGTGGGCAAGCGAGCGGGTGAGTGAGCGAGTGGTCAAACAGGTGAGTGGTTGAACAGGTGAGTGAGCGAGTGGTCAAACGGGTGAGTGGTCGAACGGGGGAGTGAGCAACCAACGGGTAAGTGAGCGAGTGGTCAAACGGGTGAATGGTCGACCGGGTGAGTGAGCGAGTGAGCAAGCGAACGGGTGAGTGAGCGGGCGAACGGGTGAGTGAGCGAGTGGGTGAGAGAGCCATCAAACGGGTGAGTGGTCGAACGGGTGAGTGAGCGAGCGAACGAACGGATGAGTTAGTGAGCGAGCGAGAGGTCGAACGGGTGAGCTGTCGAACGGGTGAGTGAGTGGGTGAGCGAGTGAGTGGGTGAGCAAGTGGGTGAGCGAGTGGTCGAACGGGTGAGCGAGTGGTCGAACGGGTGAGTGAGTGGGTGAGCGAGTGGGTGAGCGAGTGAGTGGGTGAGCAAGTGGTCGAACGGGTGAGTGGTCGAACGGTCGAGTGAGTGAGTGGGTGAGCGAGCGGTCCAACGGGTGAGTGGTCAAACAGGTGATGGAGTGGGTGAGCGAGCGGTCGACCGGGTGAGTGAGCGAGCAGTCGAACGGATGAGCGAGCACCAAAGCGAGCAAACAAAAAGGTGAGCGGGCGGTTGAAATGCCAACGGAAGAATAATAATTTGATGGAAGCACGGAGGAATGAATGCATGAAGGAATGAATCATGAATGAATGAAAGCGAGCGAACGAGCGAGTCACCTTCTGCCTCACGGCCTTCTTGGCAGGGTTCATTTTCCCACCCCCGCCAGCACCGGCGCTACTTCCCTTGTCGGACGCGTTCTGTGGACAAGCGACGACACAACATCACACACACACACAATTATATACACGCATGTATACACAACGTTACACTCAACATCGTACACACAAGTACACACATCACACACACAATTACACAGGCCGGTATACACAATGTTATACACAACATAACAAACACTTATACGCGGGATACATATCACACACACAAATACACACGATGGTATACACAATGGTACATACATTTTCACATAATTACACACAATGTTATACACAGGTCTACACACACACACACAACTACAGGTTATACGCATTACACACACACGTCTATGTAAGTTACCACACATCACACACAGTTACACCTGTTACACACGCAATTATACACATATACGCACAATTATACACACCACGTTGGACACATCACACACAATTACACATGTAACTATACACGCAATTATACGTTATATACGACATTATACACAGGATTCCACACGCAATTATACACATTATACACAACATTCCACACGCACAATTATACACATACACACAATTACAAATTCAATTGTTATACACAAGTACAATTATACAACATTACACACGCACAATTATACGTATACACTAGACAAAAACAATATACACAGCATTATACACACACATGCAACTACACACAGCATTTACATACACTAGACCCACAATTACACACATACATCTATGCACGCGCAATTACATACACGACAATAAACAACACAATTATAAAAAGACGGTGGTCACTGCATCGCGCGCTTTCAGATGCGCTGCTGCTTCTGTGGCCGTCTGGAACACTCTCTTCCTTCCAACATTCATAAGCCACTGGGAGATATGATGCCACTTTTAAATCGTCATCATCTAGATTGACAAACTCCTTTATTTAGAACTGCTGGTTGTTGTTGTTATGATGAGTTTGTTGTCCTTCACCCGCGATTCCGTACGGTGCGAGAGAAGTTCAACACACACACGTAGCACGGTTGGCTACATACGGTGTGAAAGAAGTTCAATATACAGAGATACTGTACAGAGACTCATAGAGACCCAGATATACTTTACAGACCCATAGAGATGTATATTGACCCATAGGCAGTCATAGATATACTGTACATAGAGACCCATTGAGATCCATACAGATACTGTACAAAGAGACCCATAGAGATACTGTAATGACCCAGATTCATGTAGATACTGCACATAGACCCAGAGATGCATAGATACTGTATAAAAACCCATAGACAATGTACATAGACTCAAGATATCAATATATACTGTATATAGCGACCCATAGATACTGTACAGACTCAGAGATCAATATACTGTACACAGAGACCCATACAGATACTGTACAGAGACCCACTGAGATACTGTACATAAAGACCCAGAGATTCATGTAGATACTGCACATAGACCCAGAGATCCATAGATACTGTATACAGAAACCCATAGATACCGTACATACTCAGAGATCCAGATACTGTACATAGACACCCAGATACCGTACATAGAAACCCATAGATACTCTACATAAAGACCCAGAGGTCCATAGATACTGTACAGGGAGACCCATACAGATACTGTACATAGAAACCCATATACTGTACAGAGACCCATTGAGATACTGTACATAGTGACCCAGAGATCCATGGATACCGTACATAGATTTATGGAGATACTGTGCATAGAGACATATAGAGCTCCATTGAGATACTGTACATAGACCCATGGAGATATTGTACATAGAGACCCATTGAGATGCTGTACATAGCGAACTAGATATACCGTACATACCCATAGAGATAATACAGTAGTATAATCTCTATGGGTATGCACTCTTTGCACAAACTTTCCACCGGGACCCCCGCAATGACTGGCGTGGGGAAGTATGGTCAAACCACCCTCGCGTGAGTGGTGGTGAGTTGGGTGTGTGTGGATGATGTGTGTGTGTGGATGTATGTGTGGATTTGTGAGTTGGGTGTGTGTGGATGGGTATGTGTGTGTGGATGTGTGTGGATAGCCTGGCATAAGCGTCGTGACGTTACCGCCACTTAGTGGCGAATGGCGGTTATTGTTGTTGTGTGGATGTCGAGGTTTCGTGGTAATTTTTTGAGGGGTGGACAGTCATCTACTCGGGGCAGCAGACTGCCAAACAACAGGGTGTGGCTCTTCTTTTGAACAAAAGATTGAAGGGTGCGTGGGAGCGTGGCGGTGAGGTGTGGGAGGCTGTAAGCCCAGGCTACTTTGGGCTCGCCTTCCCATCAACCGGAGGCGAGGATTGGTGGTCGTGGTTACTTATGCCCCCACCGAAGACGAACATGCATGGAGGGATGCAGGCAAAGCCGATGAGTCAGATGCCTTCTATGACCTCCTGTCACAGGTGCTGGCTAAAGTGGCCCCTCGGGATAGAGTCATCTTGTTGGGTGGCTTCAATGCCTGAGTTGGTCATGATGCTGGCACCTGGTCTGGAGTGATTGGAGGGCATGGGCCAGATCAGCTCAATAACGGTAGGAGGCTGCTAGATTTCTGTGCAACCCATGGGCTTGAATATTACCAGCACGCTGTTCCGGCATCGGCGCATCCACACATCATGGATACATGCCGGGTCCAAGCAAGAACATCTGCTGGACTACATAGTGACGGACCAGCGGATGCGAGCCCATGTCCTTGACACCAGGACCTACCGTGGAGCTGATCTGACCTCTGACCATCGACTAGTCATCTGTAAGATGCGCCTGCCATTCTTCCACTCCGGTGGTGGGTGTACACCCAGGACCCCATTCCAATCTAAAGTGGTCTGGTCTCAGTTAGCTAATGAAAGTTGTAAGCGAGAATTTCATCATCGCTTGCGGCTGGGGTTGGCATCGTCCCCCACTCCTCCTGATGTCGAGGATAAATAGTCGAAGTTTAGGACTGTGACTCATGCAGCTGCAATGGCTGCTTTGGGTACGTGGTCCAGACCTCCCCAGAGACCCTGGCTGACAGAGGAGGTGTTCAGGATAGTTGAGAAAAAGCGACAGGCCCACTGTCATCGGCTACAGAATACCACGTCAAAGAATGAGGCTTACCGCAGCCATCGTTCGGAGGTTTGGAGAGCCGTGAGGCGCTGCAAGGATGGGTGGTGGTCGCGGTTTGCTGAAGAGATGGAGTCTGCCTCAGTGGCCCACGATCACAAATCTATATTTAACTCCAAAAAAGTAACCTGCAGCGCCACACCTATTACCATCATTACGGAAAAAAACGGTGTTCCAATCTCCGACCCCCAGGAACAGGTTTGCAGATTTGCTGAGCATTTCTGAGGTCCTGGGGGAGGGGAAACCCCTCAGCCAGTTTAACAGCAGAGGTCTCACTCCGAATCAGTCGAGCGGCAATATTTTCATCGGTTGCGTAACGCTGTGTGGAAGCTACCTGGTCTGTTGCTCCGTACTAAGCTTCAGGTCTTCTCGGCCACGGTCATTCCCTCCCTTCTCTACGCTTGCGAAACGTGGACCCCCTTATTGGACCATCTTCGCCGGTTAGAAACATTTAGGCTGGCCTGCCTACGATCCATCCTGGGTTTAACTAGGCTAGATTGTGTGAGCTCACAAATCCTTGAAAGATTTGGGCAATGGTCCCATCGGTGAGCTCCTCCGGCAGGCAAGGTTGCGTTGGCTGGGTCATGTAGCCCGCATGCCCAGCCACCGCATGCCGAAACAGCTATTGTTCGGCCGGATCGAGGAGGCTAAACGGGTGCGGCACGGGCTAGAGAAGAGATGGAGTGATGTGGTACAGGAGGACGTGGAGCTGAGTGGACTTGCCGATGACCGGTACAAGCGGTGTCAGGATAGGCCTCTGTGGAGGAGGCTCGTGAAGGACGTTACTGGGCAGTTGGAGGCAGTCACCCTCCAACAACAACGGAGGGCGGAGGAGCGACGCTCACAACAACGAGCGGAGCGCTGGGTGGCTAAAGCACAGCAGGTTGGCACAGTAGGGGGCACAGGTGGTGCATCAGCCAGCCATCTCAGTCAGTCGACCCGTGGCACCGGGGTCTGCCCCGTGACCTCCTGCCAGCGGGCGTTCGACACTTCACGTGCACATGGCCTGGCACAAGCGTCGTGGTGACGTCACCGCCACTTAGTGGCGAATGGCGGTTGTTGTGTGTGGATGTGTATGGATGTGTATGGATATGGATGTGTGTGTGATGTGTATGTGTGTATGTGGAAGATGTGTGTGGCTGTGTGTGTGGATGTGTGTGTGGATGTGTGTGATGGGGAGCGGTAGTGTAGCCGTTAGCGCACTGCACTATGAACCCGGAGACCCGGGTTCGATTCCCGCTCACGGCCAACACCGATGACGATTATCTGAACTGGTCCTGTGCCTCCCATAGGTCGACTCAGCCTCAAACGAGTTCCTGGTGCGGTGTGTAGTAAACATCGCCACTGGGGAGACAAAGGCGGCCGGGCGTGGTGTTGTCCACCCACTCCCTCGTGTACCGTTACCGGCCTTCATAGGTGCTCGCTAACAGCACTTGCCCCTACAGTCTGTCAAGGCTATACGGGGATCTTTTGTGTGTGGGTGTGTATGGGTGCGCACAACAATCCACAAAAAACAGACCCAATAATCACCGCCTGTGCTGTCTGTCGCGTTTTGTGTGTGCGATGAGCGTGATGTGCTTGTGTGGCGTGGTGTGTGTCTGTGTGTTGCGTGGTGTATGTGCGTTGTGTATGCGGTGTGGTTGTGTTGTGTGGTTGCGTGCTGTGGTGCGTGTGCGTGCTGTGGTGTATGTGTGTTGTGTGTGATGTGTGTGATGTGTGGTTCGTGTCACGTGGTGTGTGTATGTCGCGTGGTGTGTGTTGCATGGTGTGTTGCGTGGTGTGTGTGTTGCATGGTGTGTGTTGCATGGGTGTGTTGCATGGTGTGTGTTGCGTGGTGTGTGTGTTGCGTGGTGTATGTCGCGTGGTGTATGTGTTGCGTGGTGTGTGTGTTGCATGGTGTGTGTGGTTGCGTGGTGTGTGTGGTTGCGTGGTGTGTTGCGTGGTGTGTGTTGCGTGGTGTGTGTTGCGTCGTGTGTGTGTTGCGTGGTGTGTGTTGCATGGTGTGTGTTGCATGGTGTGTGTTGCGTGGTGTGTGTTGCGTGGTGTGTGTTGTGTGGTGTGTGGTTGCGTGGTGTGTGTGTTGCATGGTGTGTGTTGCGTGGTGTGTGTTGCGTGGTGTGTGTTGCGTGGTGTGTGTTGCATGGTGTGTGTTGCATGGTGTGTGTTGCATGGTGTGTGTTGCATGGTGTGTGTTGTGTGGTGTGTGGTTGCGTGGTGTGTGTTGCATGGTGTGTGTTGCGTGGTGTGTGTGGTTGCATGGTGTGTGTGGTTGCATGGTGTGTGGTTGCGTGGTGTGTGTGGTTGCGTGGTGTGTGTTGCATGATGTGTTGCGTGGTGTGTGTGTTGCGTGGTGTGTGTTGCGTGGTGTGGTTGCGTGGTGTGTGTGTTGCATGGTGTGTGTTGCATGGTGTGTTGCGTGGTGTGTGTGGTTGCGTGGTGTATGTCGCGTGGTGTATGTCGCGTGGTGTATGTCGCGTGGTGTGTGTTGCGTGGTGTGGTTGCATGGTGTATGTCACGTGGTGTGTGTGTGTCGCGTGGTGTGTGTGGTTGCGTGGTGTGTGGTTGCGTGGTGTGTGTGTTGCATGGTGTGGTTGCGTGGTGTGTGTGTGGCGTGGTGTGTGGTTGCATGGTGTGGTTGCATGGTGTGTGTTGCGTGGTGTATGTCGCGTGGTGTGTGTTGCGTGGTGTGTGTGGTTGCATGGTGTGGTTGCATGGTGTGGTTGCATGGTGTGGTTGCATGGTGTGTGTTGCGTGGTGTGTGGTTGCATGGTGTGGTTGCATGGTGTGTGTTGCATGGTGTGTGTTGCGTGGTGTGTTGCATGGTGTGTGTTGCGTGGTGTGTTGCATGGTGTGTGTTGCATGGTGTGTGTTGCGTGGTGTGTTGCATGGTGTGTGTTGCGTGGTGTGTGTGGTTGCGTGTCGCGTGTCTGCTGCAGCCCGTGATGCGAAACCAAGCAAACGCTACCTCCCCCCACCACTCACCCCCCCACACTCACCCCCCCCCACACTCATCCCCCACCACTCACCCCCCCCACACTCACCCCCCCACTGCCTCACTCCCCCCACTTCCTCACCCCCTCACGGCCTCACCCCCTCACTGCCTCACCACCTCACTGCCTCACCACCTCACTGCCTCACCAACTTCACTCCCCTCACAGCCTCACCCCTCACCACCTTCACTCCCCTCACTGCCTCACTCCCCTCACGGCCTCACTCCCCTCACAGCCTCACCCCCTCACTCCCCTCACCCCCTCACCCCTCACCCCCTCACTCCCCTCACAGCCTCACCCCTCACCCCCCACTACCTCACCCCTCACCCCCACCACTGCCTCACCACCTTCACTCCCCTCACAGCCTCACCCCCACCACTGCCTCACCACCTTCACTCCCCTCACAGCCTCACCCCTCACCCCCCACTGCCTCACCACCTTCACTCCCCTCACAGCCTCACCCCTCACAGCCTCACCCCTCACTCCCCCCACTGCCTCACCCCCTCACTCCCCTCACTGCCTCACCACCTTCACTCCCCTCACAGCCTCACCCCCTCACTCCCCCCACTGCCTCACTCCGCTCACCCCCTCACGGCCTCTCTCCCCACACCGCCTCACCCCCCTCACTCCCCTCGCCGCCTCACTCCCCTCACCCCCCTACCCCCCTTCACTCCCCTACCCCCCTCACTCCCCTCACTCCCCTCACCCCCACTCCCTCACCGCCTCACTCCCCTCACCGCCTCACTCCCCTCACCCCCTCACCCCCCTCACTCCCCTCTCCCCGCCAAAAAGTCGCCTCAGACTGCGGACGCGGGAAACATGGCGACCGCCATCTTTACCTTCATGGTGCCTCGCGTCGCGAGTGACGACACGCGGTGGAGGATGACGTCATCCGGCGAGTGGCGACAGTGGATGAGAATGACGTCATCGCGCCCGGGTCGACATTCGCCTTGCGTTAACGTCAACGACAAGCGAAAGCGAAACCGGCGACGACGACGTTGCTCCTGTTTCCGACTGTCGCCACTCGGACTGTGACGTCACCGCCTGAGTGGTAGACAGGGACGTCATCGCCGCTGGATAGGCTTTCGTTTTGCGGTGACGTCAACGCCCCAGCAGTGGTTAATGACGTTGACCTCGCTGAATTGGATTCGCTTGGCGATGACGTCACAGCCCGAGTGGCGACAGTCGGAACAGGAGTGACGTCATCATCGACGGATTGGCTTCCGTTTATCGGTGACGTCACCGCCCGAGCGGCGACAGGAGCAGGAGTGACGTCATCATTGGGTCGTACTTTCCGCGGCGATGACGCTTACGCAGAAAGCCAATATTTCCATGACGTCACCAGCCGCCAAGTAACAGTGCGGGATCGGTGACGTCATCGGCAGACGTTACTGGTGGCGATGACGCGCACAACGCGGAGAGTGTTGACAGTGGTTGAGTGACGTCACTACTAACCGGGCGACGTTTCGCGTTACGCCCCTTCTTAAGCGGCGCATTATCACCACGGGGGCTTTGATAAACATTACATTTTGAAACATTTGTTTTATTTTGGAGTAACAGGTTTATTTTATTCGGCGTATGTACGGGGACTCCTCAACTTACGAACGAGTTAGGTTCCAGGAGGTCTGTTCGTAAGTCGATTCGTCCCAACTTTACTCCTATCGATTCCAAGCATAGAGTACGCAGTGCATTATGCGCTGCTACACTACATTATATACTACTATACACTACTACACTACTTTAAATACTACTAGACTAAATTATACACTACTATGCTACATTATACACTACTAAACTACTTTATATACTACTAGACTACATTATACACTACTATACTACATTATATACTACTATACACTACTACACTACTTTAAATACTACTAGACTATCTTCTTTGGTTCTTTCGGTAAAGTCACGTAGAATGAGAATAAAATAATAAATTGATAAAATAAAATAACACAATAATATTCTCACGACGTTTCGGCCACAACACAAGCGGCCTTCATCAGGTGAAGGGGACGAGACTGTCTGGAGGACAGCGCTGGAGTGAGAAAGCCACGCTCAGATCACGACCTTTAAGCTGTGTGAGAAGAAACAAAGCGCCTTGACAAAGGAATTAGCATAGAATTTAGCATTGAAATCGCTGAGTGATTAGCTTGTGACTGGTCACAGAAAAGGCTATGTTAAAGTTAAAGCATACACATCCGCAGAGGCACCCCTTGACAAAGGAATTAGCATAGAATTGAGCATTGAAATAGCTGAGTGATTAGCTTGTAACTGGTCACAGAAATAGCTATGTTAAAGTTAGAGCATATACCTTTACCGAGGCACCTAGTACAAATCAAACAGGAGAATTTAGCATTGAAATAACTAGGCGAATTCAGCATTTAAATAACTGAGTGATTAGCTTGTGACTGGTCACAGAAATGGCTATGTTGAAGTTAAGGCCTACACATCTGAGCTATTCACAGTAACTGGGTATACAATATAATATATAATGAATACTATATAGTGAACCAATAAAAAAATACTAAAATATAAATTACCTCAATGTTATCAATAAACTCTATATTCTCCAATCAGCTAAGCTACCAACAATAAGTCGTTATATATCACAATGCTATATGGTGAAAAATGGGTGGATTCTTACCCTCAACTTTAGCAACACGGATAGCTACGGGCCCCGTTCAGACGGACGAGTTCATCCATGGTCGGAACAGAGGAGGGGGAGAGAGACAACTGCGAGGCGCTGTTATACTCCATGTTGTAAACCATACCATTAACCGTGGTGTGAGAGGTATTAAGAGTCAATGCCAGCGAAAGAGCTGCGGTCTGAAGGTCATCGTAAAATACAATTAATTAAGAACGGAAATGGTTTAAAACATCTTTCCAATGGTTACTAAGCCAGAATCTACTACTAGACTACATTATACACTACTATACTATATTATACACTACTAAACTACTTTATATACTACTAGACTACATTATACACTACTATACTACATTATACACTACTATACTACATTATACACTGCTACACTACATTATATACTATTATACACTACTACACTACTTTATATACTACTAGACTACATTATACACTACTATACTACATTATATACTCCTATACACTACCACACTACTTTATATACTACTAGACTACATTATACACTACTATACTACATTATACACTACTACACTGCTTTATATACTACTAGACTACATTATACACTACTATAATACATTATATACGACTATACACTACTACACTACGTTATATACTACTAGACTACATTATACACTACTATACTACATTATACACTACTATACTACATTATACACTACTATACTACATTATACACTACTAAACTACATTATTCACTGCTACACTACATTATTCACTGGTACACTACATTATATACTACTATACACTACTACACTACTATACACCACTAGACTACTAAATGCTACTGCACTACATTATACACTACTATACTACATTGTACACTACTATACTACATTATTCCATTATACACTACACTACATTATACACTACTATGCTATATTATATACTACGTCACTACATTATACACTGCTACATGACATTATACACTACTATACTACGTTATACACTACTATACACTACTACACCACTTTATATACTACTAGACTACATTATACACTACTATACTACATTATACACTACTATATTATACACTACTACACTACATTATACACTAGTATACTACATTATACACTACTATACTACATTATACACTACTATACTACATTATACACTGCTATACTACATTATACACTACTATACTACATTATACACTACTATGCTGCATTATATACTACTATACACTACTTTATATACTACTAGACTACATTATACACTACTATACTACATTATACAATACTACACTACTTTATATAGTAGTGTAGTATCTACATCAACGTTCTGCTGATGTAGATGCCACTGGTTCTTCACGTTCTGTAGATGTAGATGCTACTGGTTCTTCATGTTCTGTAGATCCCACTGGTTCTTCACGTTCTGTGGATGTAGATGCCACTGGTTTTTCATGTTCTGCAGATGTAGATGCCACTGGTTCTTCACGTTCTGCAGATGTAGATGCCACTGGTTCTTCACGTTCTGCAGATGTAGATGCCACTGGTTCTTCACGTTCTGTTGATGTAGATGCCACTGGTTCTTCACGTTCAGCTGATGTAGATGCCACTGGTTATTCACGTTCTGCAGATGTAGATGCCACTGGTTTTTCACGTTCTGCAGATGTAGATGCCACTGGTTCTTCACGTTCTGCAGATGTAGATGTCACTGGTTCTTCACGTTCTGTTGATGTAGATGCCACTGGTTCTTCACGTTCAGCTGATGTAGATGCCACTGGTTCTTCACGTTCTGCAGATGTAGATGCCACTGGTTTTTCACGTTCTGCAGATGTAGATGCCACTGGTTCTTCACGTTCTGCAGATGTAGATGCCACTGGTTCTTCACGTTCTGCAGATGTAGATGCGACTGGTTCTTCACGTTCTGCTGATGTAGATACCACTGGTTCTTCACGTTCTGTAGATGCTACTGGTTCTTCATGTTCTGTAGATGCCACTGGTTCTTCACGTTCTGCTGATGTAGATGCCACGGGTTCTTCACGTTCTGCTGATGTAGATGCCACTGGATCTTCACGTTCTGCAGATGTAGATGCCACTGATTTTTCATCTTCTGCAGATGTAGATGCCACTGGTTTTTCATCTTCTGCAGATGTAGATGCCACTGGTTCTTCACGTTCTGCAGATGCAGATGCCACTGGTTTTTCACGTTCTGCAGATGTAGATGCCACTGGTTCTTCACGTTCTGCAGATGTAGATGCCACTGGTTCTTCACGTTCTGCAGATGTAGATGCGACTGGTTCTTCACGTTCTGCAGATATAGATGCCACTGGTTCTTCACGTTCTGCAGATGTAGATGCCACTGGTTCTTCATATTGTGTAGATGCCACTGGTTCTTCACGTTCTGCAGATGTAGATGCCACTGGTTCTTCACGTTATAAAGATGTAGATGCCACTGGTTCTCCACGTTCTGCAGATGTAGATGCCACTGGTTCTTCACGTTCTGCAGATGTAGATGCCACTGGTTCTTCACGTTCTACAGATGTAGATGTCACTGGTTCTTCACGTTCTGCAGATGTAGATGCCACTGGTTGTTCACGTTCTGCAGATGTAGATGCCACTGGTTCTTCATATATTTAGCATTCACACGTAAACATAACATTCTCTTTGTGCCTCATTCTGCAAGCTAAACCTTTGACAAGAGATTTAAATTTTGTTTTAAGAGAAAATCCTTGACACTCTGCGATTGCGGCTATAGGTGGCGATATACACAAGCCCTGAATCTGGGTGTCTTTCTGTGTGTTCACAATGGCCAAGTCAGAGATACTGAGACAGTAATACTGAATACCTGGGTTCGAGTCCTGGGTCTGGGTGTCTCTCTGTGGGTTCACAATGGCCATGTCAGAGACATTGAGACAGTGATACTGAATACCTGGGTTCGAGCCCCGGGTCTGGGTGTATCTCTCTGGGGTGTTCACAATGGCCATGTCAGAGACACTGAGACAGTGATACTGAACACCTAGGTTCGAGTCCTGGGTTTGGGTGTATCTCTGTGGGGGGTTCACAATGGCCATGTCAGAGACACTGAGACAGTGATACTGAATACCTGGGTTCGAGCCCCGGGTCCGGGTGTATCTCTGTGGGTTCACAATGGCCATGTCAGCGACACTGAGACAGTGATACTGAAGACCTGGGTTCGAGTCCTGGGTCTGGGTGTCTCTCTCTGGGATGTTCATAATGGCCATGTCAGAGACACTGAGACAGTGATACTGAATACCTGGTTCGAGTCCTGGGTCTGGGTGTATTTCTGTGGGTTCATAATGGCCATTTCAGAGACACTGAGACAGTGATACTGAATACCTGGGTTCGAGTCCTGGGCATGGGTGTCTCTCTGTGGGTACACAATGGCCA